CTCTGTTCATTTAATTTGTCCTCAACTAATGTATCGGATATGGTTTTTTTTTATTACTTTGGATGTTAGTACTTTGGATGTTTAATCTAACTGATAAAAAATATTATATATTAATTTATTATTCTATTGATATTGATATCAGAAAAGGCTGACTGTAACTTATGGAAAAAACTTAATTGACAGCTATTTCAGCTACATGTATAAAGCTTATTTACAGTACTGATAAAAAGTTGAGCAGGGTGTGCAGTGAATATAGCATTTTCAATCAGGGCAGTATGGAATCGGGCATTAAACAATGATTAATGATATGAGACATCTGAAAGTAGATTTAAGGAAAACTAACTGAAAAGATTTTGGGACCAAGTGTTGACAAAATTTAATTGATTATAGTTTGTTGAAACAAGTCTTTTTAAATTTTCAGTTCCAAGTCAATGCAGCAGACAAAGGAAGTGTACCACGGACTGCCACCAATCCTCAGGTTGTGTCCATTTCTGTAGTCAGAAATACAGCCCCTTATTTTGAAAATGTATTTACATACCAGACCCAGGTGCAGCAAAATGCTGCAGGAGGCACCATTGTATTCACACCCTCAGGAAGAGACGCAGATACAGATGTAAGAATTATCTCTAGGAATAACTTTTAAGAATTTAGCTTTTGTACTTAGGAATTTATAGTTCACCATTATTGTATTTAAAATGTATAGACACATGATGGGTCTTATATATGAATCTAAAATTCTGCCACGATCTTAAAGTCTCTTATATGTTAAATATGCACCTGTTTTAATGGCATAATGAAAGTTTTCAACCAAAGTTGTATTCATATTTTATATGTATTAAAGATGCATTAAGATTATATTAGTTAATTCAAACGACCTCCTTTTTTACAGCAAAATTTCAAGATTCTAGTTTTTTTAAGAATGTCCAGAAGCTTGAAATACCATATATCGTAGATGCATATTGCAGTTCACATGTCAGTGAAAAATTCAGTGATAGTTGATGATATTGTGATGATTTGTTTTCAGAGTCCATTCAATACCCTGACATATTCTCTGATTGGAGATGACCCAGCCCCCTCTGTGTTTCAAATCAACCCGAGTACCGGAGCAATATCAACCAAACCAACCACAAACTTGACACAAACCTCTGGAAACTTTGTGGTAAAAATGTGCATAGAGTACCTCTATTTGTAAAGAAAGAAAATGATACCAACTAAACAGAAATTCCTGGATCTGTCAACATAGATACCAAACATAAAACTGTTCAACTGTTTCAAGATAACATTTATTCTTGTTTTTTCCTTACAGGCTCGTGTACAAGTGACCGATGGTGGATCACCTCCCTTGTCAGATACTGCGACAATATCCATCAACGTGGAAAGAAACCTGAATTCACCTCGTTTCCTGCACCTCAATGATCTGACCGTAAATATCCCAGAAATTCTACCAGCTGGCTCAAACATCATTGACCTCAATGCCACAGATGATGATGCCTATGTAAGTTGGGCAGGTTTTATAGTTTAAAAAGCAAGTATTAAAGCAGAATTAATCTGTATAATAGAAGTGTAGGTAGTAGGTAAAAAGAACACTAGATTTTGTAACAACAAAAATCTTGCATGATTTGTTTATGATTTTTTTTGTAACAAAAAAATCTAGTATGTGGTTGTTTATGACTTTCCAGATCATAGGCATATAATTATTTCATTCTCCTTTTTCCAGATACCAAACAACGTCATCTCATATGTCATAACAGGAGGAATTGGAAATCCACTTGAATATTTCTTCATAAACCCTGGCACAGGAGTTATTGTCCTTCAGAAATCTGTGAAATCAATCTCCACCAGTAATTTTAGGGTATGACACAGTACAGTGTGCTTCCATACCTTGTACATGTTTTTTTTCCCCCCAGGGTCCAAGTTTTTTTTTTTCACATTTCCTTACGTTCAAGGCATCAGTATATACTGACACGTACCCAAAAGAAATGCAGCAAGCAGTTAATTAAAAATATCTGAATATTTTATCTTCTGATATTCACAATTTAAAACATATTTTAACAGTAGGAGAAAAGTTGATGTAAAAACACTACAGAATTATTGATGATTAAAATGTTGAATGTTTTCTTTTAACTTTAGAAAGTAATAGGTAACCGTTCAATCCCCCTCCCCATTCAATTACAGCATGCAAGTCTGTCATGCACAACAATTGCAGCTCAGATTCTATGCTGTATAAAGTTTACCAGGCTCTTGATTTGAGTGAAAGAAATTTTCTTCAGTCTTTTTGAAATGCCTGTTTCTCAAATGCCGATGTAGAATAATTTCCTTGAACTTGGTGCAGTGTAATACCATTGGACTTTCGGTCCACAGACTGTCATTCAAGTTGGTGAGCCGTACTCATATGAGCATGATGGGGCATGATATAGTGCATCTTTGCATCTGATATGCTCTTTCGTCTTCATTTTGAGAATTTCCAGCTAGAAGCAAATGAAATGCTTGCTTTACGTTTCTAGAGAGCCATGTCATCACTTAATGAAAAGAAACAAGAACTTTTTTTTAGGAATAATGATAAACAAAAACAAATGTTGTAAACCCAAATTACAGCCAATTTTTTTTTGTGACATTCAAACATGCAATTTATGATTTCCATTATGTGAAGCTCAGACTTTGGTCCAGTAATGGAATGAAAATCTTTCAACTATTAAATATCTGACTAATCAAAGTTGAAGATATCCTTACTGTTGAAGTGCAGAATTGTATCCTGTATCTGATTAATTTTTTCTCTAAGATAGGATGTTGCATTTCTTTTGAATGTCAGTATATCTACAAGAAAATTAAGTTTCATATATTGCATGTACATTTATGCTTAGTCCCAGTTTAGCCAGAGTATGCCCATTGCTAAGTATAATTGCATTAATTTATAATAAATGTAAAATTATATATATACTTATCACAATTTTGTAACCAAAGAGATTTTAATTCTTATCATCCTGAGTAAAGAGTTATTCAGTGACAGCATTTCAGCAGAATATGATCTAAAAATTGATAGTGACCAAACATTTGTTTTTCAACAGCTTGTGATTGGATTCCTTTCTGTTGTTTTGTAGCTAACAGTTGAAGCCAGAGATCAGGGAAGTCCCCAACGGTTTGCTTCTGCCACAGTGAATATTAATGTACTGAGAGACAGTGGGGTGCTTACTTTCTCTGCCAATAATTACAATGCCACAATTAGTGAGAACACTCCAGTCAGTACATCAGTTGTAACAACAGTAGCCTCTCCTGGGGTATGTTCATGCTCAAAGGAATTCTTAATCAATGTTGTGAAAAGTGTTCATTTAAACATGTCAGTAGTGAAAGCAGTTTTCAGAGTATGCATTTTTTCTGTCCTATAATGATTTAATCAAGTTTGGAGTGTGGTTTTACTTTTGCACAGGCCAGCATTGTGTATTCCTTGCTTGGTATTGGAAGTGGACCTGATTACTTCAGTGTCAATCCAACCTCAGGACAAGTGAATGTTATACAAGCCCTTACCCAGGACGCATCTCGACTCACTTCGTACAGGGTATTACAAAAAGTTTATTTATTTAATAATTTTTTTTTTTTTTTGAATAAAAAGAAATATTCAGTATATCATAATTTAGTCAAACTACGTTCAATTTTAGCCCTCCAAAATTCAAGGAGTTTAATTCTTTTAATTTGGTGTACAAAACTTATTTATAAATACTGTACATCCACTTTGTTTATATTTTCAGTTGTTAGTTCAAGCTGTAAATCAAGGTGTATCAACACAGACTGCCACTTCTACCGTCAACATTATAGTCACTCGTAATGAAAATGGTCCACTATTCCAGCCTACTTCTTATGTTGTCACTGTACAGGACACTATCCCTCTAGGTTCTAATGTAACTCAAGTGACTGCAAGTGATGCAGACAATGTAAGTATATGGGTTGGTCAGTTAAAAAAGAACAACTATTACAATATTATTTCTAAGTATCATGGAGGCTGGAGGAAATTTTAAAGTGGAAGAACAAGAGTCAGTGATGATATGTTTCCTTTATCCATGAAGAGGTTGTAACATTTTTTTTCTTTTTCGTTTGAAGGACCCATTAAACTACAGAATACTGAGTGGTTCCCCTTACACTGAGCTGTTTTATCTAAACCCTGTGACTGGTGTCATTACATTGAAGAGTGTCCTGCTAGGTAGAACAGAGAACCAGTACACTGTAAGTGAACTAATTAAACAGGGGAAGTAACTCAACCATTGCAAGTAAAATAATAGGTTAAAAATGGATGATTTTTTTTTTCAATTAAGTACATGTATGTAAACAATGTCATGGACTTGGTTTTATTATTTAGTTCACAGTGCAGGCTAGTGACCAGAGGACTCCAGAAAGAACAGCCACAGCCAATGTAGTGGTCAATGTGATCAAGGATCAGTTCAGCCCTGAGTTCATCCGTACTCCATATAACGTTCAAACGACAGAGAATACCCCTGATGGCACCATCATCTTCAACACAGAGGCCATAGACCGAGATCTTAAAGTATGCATACTTGAAGAAAAATTTTTGTGGGGAAAAAAAAAAATATTATTGTATTATGCTCTTACATTAAATTTGCTGACACACCTTTGTAAATACTCCATTAAATGAAAACCAAAATTGTATTTCCATTACTAGAAATTCATGCAAAATTCAAATGATTTCATACTGGAAGGAAGTAATTTTGTTTCAATTACTATAGTTGATCAAAAGTCTTTTTAAGTGTTGAATTTTAACAAATTGCTGTTTTCCAGGAGAGAATTGTATACACTGTTATTGGTGACAATGCAGCCCCAGCCTTTTTTGGTGTGATTACTGACAGAGGAAACATAACAATTATAAATCAGGCCCTCCTCAGGAAAGATGTGGGCACCACATACACAGTAAGTAGCTATTAGAGTGACTTCTAGTTGAAGCCACTTATTTGAGCACCACTTTACAAAATAAAAAAGCAAAAGATTGAACAGAAGCTGATACTACTATTTACTTGTACAGTATGAAGGTAATGAGTGACATATAGTTGAAAAATCAAGCCATCTTGAACTGACATTTTTCTGATAATCATCAGCATTAGCAGAATGATTTTAGATGGTCAAAGGATAGCATTTAAAAAGAAAGACAGTCTTTAAGATAAAAGAACAGAATTTGATGTTCGTTTATGTACGAAATTGTCATGATCATTTTGCAGCTCAGACTCACTGCCCATGATACACGATATCCCAACAACAAAGCCAATGCAACTGTCACCATTACTGTGAGAAGGAACCTAAACTCTCCTGTTTTCTCCCTACCAAGTTACAGTCGAACTATTTTGGACACCATTCCTCTCGGAGAACAAGTGGTTCAAGTAAACGCAACAGATGCTGATAGAGTGAGTTTTACAATACTTTCTTGTGACTAAAAGTCATATGTTATTAGTGAGCCATTTTCTGATTATTTTTTAATGAAATTCTTGTTGAAGTTTTTACGTGCTTGTTGACAACAATTTTTGTGATTTTTTTAGCACAATTTTTATTTTCATTTTTCCCCATGCTTTCTCAACATCTTTGAACAACAGAGCTTGGTAAAATGTTCCTTGTTAATTTACCTATAAAATTAAGAAATTAAAGTTGACTAAGTGATCCAAGTTAATAAGTCCCCCACCCCCAATATATAAATGTTTTTTTTAAGCATACTTGTAGCAAAAAAAATGTACATTGAGCACAGAAATAAATTGTTGATGTTGTTTGACAGGATCCAATTCGATACAGCATAATTGGAGATTCCAGAGCCCAGACTTTCTATTATATAAATCCAGAAACAGGCTTGATCACAATTAAAAGACATCTGACAACTGGAAGTCAGGACAGTGACCAGGTAATAACAAAGAAAAAAAGAAAGAAATTGGCTCAAAGACTTACAAGATGTTCTGTGCATTTTAAATTTGTTTCTTCCATAAATTTCAAATAAACTTGATCATAGTAGTTTATTCACTCATTAAAGAACAGTACTCTCTTTTTATAATATTTACATGTACAATAATTAATTGTGGTGATATATTAGTACTGCAGAGATCACCAAATTTTCATGACACCTTATTTTTTCTAGAGAAAGTTATTTGGTCTTAATAAGCAAAACAATTCCATGAGTAATGGTTGTTGTATATAATCTTTAAGAATACAAATATACAAGAGAATGAAATTTTGGTGAATTGAGGGTCATGCATAATTACAGGAAAAATTAAAGTTCTTGCAGATAAGTGATTTTCAGTACATAAGGGTTAACTTTAAGATGTTTTTCCTCATCAGATTCAAGTCCAGGCCTGCGATCAGAGAGATCCACAGAACTGTGCTCAGGCTCTAGCCTTCATCACAATTGACCGCAATAAGATATCTCCAGTGTTTGTAAATACGCCCTACAGCAGTAGCTTAGGACAGGGCACCCCTGCCTCAGAAACTGTCGTCTTCACAGTCACTGCTACTGATCAAGATATGAATCCAAATACAGTAAGTCTAATAAACACATATTGTCATCAGTCTTGTTTTTCTTTTTTTTATAGGCAGAATATAAAAATACGCTGAAATCAAAATATGTTAAAACTTTTTGGAGCAAGTTAAATCCTTCAAGTTTCGACCACATTAGGAAACTGTATTTTGCTTTCAGGGAAGCATCATGTATGATGTGATAGGAAACTACCCTGCTCCATCATTTTTCTCATTGAATACAACCACAGGACAAATCAAGGTTGCCCGTGGCTTAATGGAGGATAGCTTGCAGAGATCTCAATATGATGTATGTATTCATACACTCAGATTTCTATTAAATAGCCCTTTCTAGATCTCTTTATTACAGTATACTCTCTCTCTCTTTCTCTCTCTCTCTCTCGTTGCTTATGAACATTTGATTTTGTATACATGTGAATTGAAATTTCTTACAGCTGGTTGTGGTTGCCTACGACACTCAGTATCCTACAGACAGGGCTACTGCCACGGTTACATTTATCGTCAACCGCAATCCTAACCCTCCAGTGTTTACCCAGTCTATTTACAGTGTTCAAATAGCAGAGAGTTTACCTCTAGGAGGCAACATTACACAGGTTTCAGCAGCAGATGCAGACAATGTAAGACATGTTTTTTGAGATAGATGTAATAAGGATTTGATTTTGTTTTTTTATTTTTAAATCATTTTTAAATGACCTGCTGTCAATATATTTTAAGAAAAGTTGTAAAATTGAAAAGGAAAATGCAAGAAAAAATGTATTTATACAGACAGTAACTTATTAATTCCACAGGTGCTTGAGGACAGGACCCCCCCCCCCCCCCCCAGGTCTGTTCGACTCTTTTCTCATAAATTATATATGGATGACACATTTGTGATATAATATCCATATCATCAATTCGGAAAATTGACTTGAACATTTTATAAAAATTACTACCCTACCCTATATATATAAATTAACAAGGTTGCCAACTTCGTCTGCAAACCGAGAGGCACTGCCGAGGAATTTTTGTTGAATTGTCTCATAAATCTACACATAGCCCTAAAATCAACAACTCATGTCGTAGGTTAAATATTCTTTTCATTAACCACCAACTCTCATAAAGGATTAGGCACTTCAACAGTCGTTTCGCCCAATTTTCCACAAGGATGTTAGCGCTTTCAAACTGATCGAAGCTTATTCAACGGAAGTGATGAGGATACGACTTTCTACCCAAATACACATTTCTGCACAAAGTCTGAAACACTATTTTGAAATAAGCATTTGAAGAAATTTGGTTGAGATACACTTTAAAAATATATTTCAAATGTATTGGAAGCATAAAGTTCTAAACCACTTATGTAAATGAAATGTTTCTAATTATTTTTCAACTACCGTAAAGTCACGAGTATTGGCCGCAATGGTGTAAAAGACGCACCCCCAAAGTCGGGGTGAAAATCCTGAAAAAAACACAGGTCCTATGTAAAATGCGCATCCAAAAAACGCATAAATTGGATGTGACTTTAATTTTTCTAGTACAGTAACTTAAGATGAAAGTAGGAAAATTTACGAATCTCAAACGAAAGTAGCAAGTCAGCTTTTTTACTCTACGTATTATGAGTGTGCATATGTGAACATTTAAATTTAAATCTTTTTAATAATTATTTAACCAGAGATGATAAAAGAAATGCCTGATTATTTTCTTTTCAAATTAATTCCAAGCGTGTTATGAAGTTATGCTTACCGGTTTAATGCATAACAAGCGCGTGTCCGTATTTACGTAAACAAAAATCATACCCAACCGATATTAGTGTCAAAGGTTTGGCTTTGTGTAATTAAACAGTTCTTGGTATCCATCGATAATTATTTTAGTTAGCTAGTGCAATGAAAAATCAGTGCTGTGACCATGATGACGTGCTAAATGAACATTTTAATATTTGTGTCTTATATTTTCTTGAATGTTACAAAATACAGGTGACTCTCGATGGCTCGAACTCCGATCTCTCGAAGTTCTCGATCTCTCGAAGTGAACCTCCGGTCCCGTTTTTTTCCTCTATATAACTAAGCAAATTTACTCCCGATCTCTCGAACTCCCCAATTCTCGAAGTTCTCTATCTCTCGAACCAAGATCTGGGTCCCGTTACACACATTTCATTGTTTTTTACTCTCTATCTCTCGAAGTTTTGATTGCGCATGTCAATCAAGCGTAAAATTAATGCACATTTGACTTACCTGGATAACAGTGAATGCCTGGGGCTGGGATGGACGTGTTAATTGGGTGTTTACACAAATGACACTACACCTGTGAATCGTCCTAGTGTTGATATAATTAATTGGTTAACTGTTAAATTATAAACAAATCGCTTCACAACTTATTTTGACTGGATGGGACGATAATTTTGAGGAAATAATTTAGGGACGTGTCAGTAATTTTTCCATAGATTATGAACCTTAAGATTATGAGAGTCTACACAATCCCAGTTTGGCAAACATTGCACAAGAAATCCTATCTCAAGAACTGAATACCGATTAGGAACAATCTTGTGAAGGACCAATCAAGCCCGGGGGAGAGCCAATTAGACAATTGCTATTCAGGTTTCATGTAATCATGAAATGAGAACTAATAAATATTGAAACTTAAAATAATCATTTTATTTATTCAAAATACGATCATTGTTTTTGAAATCGAGTGAATTACCTGTAAAATATGAAAGAAAACGTGTAATGACATTATCAACATATACTTCCGGTATGTATAATAGTAGAGCAATGATGATCGGAACTGAAAATTCCGGATTTTATTTACTTTCTATCTCTCGAACCCCCCGATCTCTCGAACTTTTCTTACGGTCCTTGAACTTCGAGATATCGAGAGTCACCTGTATGTTTTTATATGTGCTTCCGACTGAAATATGTTCTAATAAAGTTCTTTTTAAAAACGCGTCACTTTCATTGCAGGTGTCCAGGTGATAATTGTTAAATAAACAATGGTCATGTCCTACGTGACAACATAGACTGAAGTTATATATAGCAATGACGCGACAATAGAATCCTTAACGATTTGCACCTCTAATTGCATATCTGAAATTTTAAAAAAATAAAAATAAGATATTGAATTATGGATAATTCAGAATATATCACAAAGATTATAGTTGTTGACTCATTTATAGGTATTAATATAGGTATTAATATATCTATGTCTTAAGTGACATGCAGTTCTTGTGTATGATATAAGCGACGGTAATGGCGGAATATGCAATGGAAATAAAACAAAAAACAAAGATCGTTTTTCATTTTGATGTTATTTATGAAACGATTATCTTTTATTCAACAGGTAGGGTAGATATATATGACTACAACAGGTAGGGCTGACGTATATGACTCTGAAATTAGATTAATAGTAATAAACTTTGACGTAATTGGTTACAAAGAGTAGGCCTAATCAATTCAAACGGATCGGGAAAATGGTCGTCGTGACCTGGAAAAAAAGGGGGTTGTATTTTGTTCCGATGTATTAAGCGCATCCCTAATTTTAAACAATTTTCTGAAGAAAAAAGGTGCGGCCAATACAAGCGACTTTATGGTAACTGATTTGCAGTTTTCGTTTTGAGAGTTATGCCCCTTTTAAAAATGCAATTTATTTAAATACCTTCTTTTCTCTAGATATTTGGCATAAAATCTAAAAAAATGTTAGAAAAAATATTTCCTTTATTAAAAATTCGTGCAAAAAACAACAATGTGTCCAGTATTTATACCTTGCACTCATATTTGGTTATATGGAGGAAATGGGTAATATAGTCCTCTCCTCATTACTTCCGTTGAATAAGCTTTGACGAAGTTGGCAACCTTGTTGATTTATATATAGAGAGGGGGTAGATTTTATAAAATGTTTGTTTTAGGTAATTTTTCGAATTGTTGGTGTAGATTATATCAGAGATATGTCATTGAAAGATGATTTATGAGAAAAAAGTCGAAAAGGCCCGGGGGTCTATATCGGGGGGGGGGGGGGGGGGGGGTCCTTCCTCAAGCACCTGTGATTAATTCTCAATCAAAATGGTTGTCAAATATATGTTAAGTCAAATAAGTAACAAATTTACATACTTAGTTAAATACATAGTTAAATTGATGGGTGGAACAAGTATTTAAGAATTGCTCTTTTCTAGAAATTAAGTGAGCTACAAATACAATATTCTAGCTTCTATGGTTAATTTTGGTTGGAGCTATGACTTTCATATTTCACATGTGTATTCCTTGTGACAAGACCTTTCTTTGGGTACCATCATATTTGACCTTTTGATCTTGACCTTGGAGTTTGACCCACTTTTGCAAAAAACCTTGGCCATAACTTCTGAACAGTTGGTGCTTGGGGTTTCAAACTTCACATGTGTATTCTTTGTGACAAGGCCTTCCTTTGGATATCAACAACTTTGACCTTTTGACCTTGACCTTGGAGTTTGACCTACTTTTGAAAAACTTTAACCTTGGCCATAACTTCTGAACAGTTGATGCTTGGGGTTTCAAACCTCATATGTGTATTCTTTGTGACAAGACCTTCCTCTGGATATCAACCTCTTTGACCCTTTGACCTTGACATAGGAGTTTGACCTACTTTTGAAAAACTTTAACCTTGGCCATAATTTTTGAATGGTTGGTGCTAGGGCTTTCATTCTTCACATATGTAATCCTTGTGACAAGACCTTCCCTTGGATACCAACCACTTTGACCCTTTGACCTTGACATGGGAGTTAGACCTACTTTCGAAAAACTTTAACCTTGGCCATAACTTTCGAATGGTTGGTGCTAGGGCTTTCATACTTTACATATGTAATCCTTGTGACAAGACCTTCCTTTGGATACCAACAACTTTGACCTTGACCTTGATGTTTTACTTACTGTTAAAAAACTTTAACCTTCGCCATAACTTTTGAATGGTTGGAGCTAGGGCTTTCAAATTTAACAATTTTTATCTTTTGGCCTGGATTTTGACTTCCATTTGAGAAACTTTAACCTTCGCCATAAGCTGCCATACGGAGGAATCAGTGTTTCACAAACACATCTTCTTTCTATTTGTTAAAGCTGCTCAGAAAATAAAATGCCAAGAGATAAGAAGGTGAGGTGAAATAGCTAGATAGTATGTCTCTATGTTGTTTTTTTCTTCTTCAGGATCCAGTCTCCTATTTCTTCAGTTCAGGAGGAAACACAGGGGCAGATGATTTAAATTTCTTTTACCTGAACGCAGAAACAGGGATCATAACGCTCAAGTCCCTACTCACTTCAACAACAACAAATACATTTACGGTTAGCAAAATTTTAATCTAAATTTATAAATAATGAAATGCTTAAGATAAATTCATTTTCTTTTTAAGGAAAAATTTATTGGATCTCAAGTTAGTGTAAATTTAGTGAAAATTTTGTTGTTTTCTTTCAACACACTAAAATTCTTATTTTACTTTCACTATCAAATGTTACAGTTTACAGTGTCTGGAATAATTTTAGCACATACAGACACTATAATTTTGCCAGATTTCAGAGCACAAAATGTGTAACAATATTTGACAAAGAAAAAGAAACCAATCATAATTATTAGTAAATTCATTTCTAGTTTGATGTAACAGCAAGGGATCCTAGCGGAAAAGTAGGAAGTGCTCAGGTTAATGTACTTGTCATCAGGGACCAACCCCCAGTGTTTGAGGGGACACCTTACAGAGTACAAATTGTTGAGAGCCAGCAAACTAACTTGAGAGTGTACACTGTCAGTGCCAGTGATCCTGATCGGAAGGTTAGTTGTAAGTCAGGGTTGCTGGATTGTAGCATCTAGAAAATATAATAGAGGGAACAATTCCTTTAGGGGGAGGAGGGGGATTCACTGTAAATTTACAGTGAAGTGGTTTTTAGAAAACAATGTCCCAATCTACATATATGTTTTACTCCATTAATCTGATGAGGAATTGAATTCATTTTTAGAATTTTATTTTTTACAAAAGAAACTATTGCATTTCAAAATTATTGAACAACTGAATGGAATATAACTCTTGATAAAAACAAGGACACAATTGCAAAATGCAGCATGTGGGTTAAACCCTTGAAATAATAGATTGCATAGTGAATTTGAGTTTCCAGTGCCTTTAATAGAGGTGTAGCAATATTGCAAAGACAGAGAGTTGGGTTTGTATGTTTGTTTCTCCGAGATCAACTCGTAACAGTACATTGCTATTATGGACTTTTGATCTAACTAGCATTTTATTTGAAAGTTGGAGTCCAAAAATTTGGGTTTATGGTTGCTCATGTTCAAACTGTAGTTATCTTCAGCCTCAGGCACATCATATACAATATAGATCTGAAGTGGTGTTGGTTACATTTTAGGAATTTATTTTTAATCCAAGTTGCTTGATACAGTTAGAATTGATCATAATAGAATATAAAGGAATGTTTCAAGCTTCTCCAGCAATAACACTGAGAAACTGCTTATGATTTAATACTGGTCAAATTGAATTATTATTTCATATTATATAATTATTATTTTTCTATCAAAAAGTAAAATATAGTGAACATTTTAAATAATTTTTCATTTCTATAATTTTTAGGGTTCAATTGTGTATGGTGTTGCTGGATCATTGAATGCTCCTTTCTTCTTCCGAGTTGATAACTCTAGTGGAGAGGTTGCTATCATCAACGACTTGAGAAAAGACATACAACAGCAGTATGAAGTAAGTGTTATGTATTACTTTGACAGTAGTATGTTCTCAGTTTTAAGTTGTTGATCCATTAGCTCTGGATTAGCACCATATATTCTTCTTTTAACTCATAAACAAAAAGCCTTATGTCATGGAAGAGAAAAAATGTTTAAAAAAAAATTCAATTTGTGGTGCTTTTTTTCAGCTTATTGTCACAGCATATGACAGCGGTTCTCCTGGAAAAACAGCCACTGCTACTCTGACAATAGGTGTCACTAAAAACCCCTCCAACCCACAATTTGGTTTGCCAGCATACACCACAACCATCTGGGAAGACCAAGCACCGGGATCTAATATTCTAAACATCACAGCATCTGATGCAGACAATGTAAGTTTTTATTTTGAAAGTTAACTCTGACAGACAAAGATGAGTCATATTCATTCATTGTACAAGTCATATGCAATGGTTTTCTCTGATTTCTTTTAAAGATTTAAAATTGCAAGAAATCTAATTTCTGTAAAAGATGCATAGAGAGTAATAATTTTAAGAAGTATTTAAAAAAATACTTTCTAAATTTGATAATTTTGGCCTTTCTTTATTCAATCAATGGGGATCACATTTCATGTCTCTAATTTTTGCAAGGTTGAAGAATTTTATCATCAATCCTAGTTTTTTTAATAAAAAAAATTAAAACTGATAAATGTTATGTTTTATAAGAGAAAAGAGAGTCTCAACATTTGATCTGTTCTACCTTAGGATGTTCTGCGGTTTGACTTGTTGAGTGACGGCACTGCAGCATCAATCAGGGCTTTAATGTATTTCTCATTAGACCCAACAAATGGTCAGTTCTATGTGGCCAAATCATTAATGGATGACACAACTAAGGCTTCAGAATACAATGTAAGTTACTGAGTAAAATATAACTCTAAGAAATCGGAGCTTATAACATTTAGTAGTTTCGTGTGTCAATTTTGGAAATACTCACAGACAAAACTTGAATTTTAGGATTAGAGACACAGATTTCTATTGATATTAATTTTTCAGTGTACTGTTGCATGATTTAATGAGCACTTTTTTTTTCAATTGAAAGTTGAGAGTACGTGTGCGAGATCAGCAGTATCCTGATTATGAGAAATCTGCAGAAGCTAATGTCAGAGTTATAGTCAACAGAAATCGCCAGACTCCATTCTTCCTGGGGACTTACGCAAGAGAGCTCTCTGAAAATTCACCAGTTTCAATATCTATTTTACAAGTTTCAGCCCAGGACTCTGACAGGCGGGTATGTTTTAATACTTATCGAAAACTCGGAATGGAGGATACAATTTAGAGCTTCAGTTTGCTTAGTTGATTTTTAAAAATTGTACACTTTGGAATCTTGTTGATGAAAAAAGGAATTTTCAAAACAATTTCATTATTTTAGTGAACTGGAGGGTTTGTTTATTGAAAATGATTCTGTTTCGTAGAATTTTGTTGTCATTCTTTATTCTTTACTTGCAGCCCACAAGTTCTCTTAGATATGAAGCTACAGGATTTGGCTCAGCACCATACTTTTTCTATCTATCACCAACTAATGGGTCCATATATATCCAGAATGACCTAAGATCAGAGAAGAACGTCTTCAGATATGTTGTTAGTTTCTAATGAGTACATTCAATATCCAGTATATTTACTATGCATAATTTAAGCATATCAGTTTCTTTTATATATTTTTATTAGAAAACAGTATTTCTTGTTTTAATAATTTGACTCTTGATCAAACATAAATTCAGTGGACCATGAATTCTTATTTTCTTGCAGCTTCAAGTTCAGGCCTATGATGTAGCATATCCCAATGACAGAGCAACAACAAATGTAACAATTACAATTGTGCGCAATGAAAATGCACCACAGTTTGACAAATTCCAGTACACTGCCAACATCAGTGAAAGCACTGCCATTAATGTGGTAGTTTTACAGCTCAATGCAACAGACAGAGATACAGGGGTAAAGTATTAGTTGAGATAAATTCAGTATTGTGCATTTGGATAAATACACTCCTTGATGCTGTATTTCCAGAAAACTGTATTGCTTTTATAATAATTTTTTAAAATATATTTCTGCATACAGGACAGGATAACCTATGGATATGATGGAGCTAATCCTGTTCCATTCACTCGGCTTTTCTCCTTGAGTCCAAACACTGGTGTCATCACAGTCCAAGCTGACTTGACCACTGACTTGCAGCCTGCATACACGGTGAGTTAGGCACACAAATTTCAATATCTTCAAAGTCATTTAAAGTACATGTATATGTGTAGGAAGCTTTTGAAAACTGACAAGTTTGAGTTCATCCTCTTTAAATTTTTTGAAATTTTTTTTTAAAATAGTGAAAATGATCAGGTTTAAGAAGTTGTGTATACGCATGAATTTTAAGAATGAAAAGCACTCCAGCATTCAACTCATATTAATTCTTTTTCAGGCTACAGTTTATGCATATGACAACAGTAACCCTGAGAAGAAAACTCCAGGTAACGTGATTATTTCAGTGTATCGAGACCGATCATCACCTCAGTTTTCTGTTGGGAACCAAACTGTCACTGTATCAGAAAATGCTGCCATTGGGACATCAGTGGCGGAACTTTCCGCAAATGATGCTGATCGAGTGGTTAGTGATTCATGATTTAAAGGAGAGCTTAAAATATTGTATCATTTGAATTAACGAAATATAATTAATTAAGGATAATGTCTGCAAAACTTAATGTAGTGGAGAATTCATTTGGCGCTCCTGACATCACTATGATGAACTAAGTAGGAAATCAAGGTAAATGTGTTTAAGCATGTCCATATCCAGATAACTGTATTTTTTTTTTAATTTTAATACAGGGAATTGTTACATATGAAGTAATGGGCGTGTACCCTGCTCCTAGTCTGTTTTCAATTCATCCAACAAATGGTGTGGTTTCTGTTGCCAAGGACCTACAATTTGAAGCTGTCAGATCTGACTCACAGTATAGAGTAAGAATATTTATTTTATTAATTCTTTTTTTTATGCCCTGAAATACATGTATGTATGGTAGAATTTAGCTTTCTTGAATTTTTTTAAAATGATAAAACATTTCCAATTTTTCATTAAATGCAGAAAAGAATATTGATTACTTTATTGCAGCTAACGGTAGAAGCATACGATTCCTTCCGTCCCAACAGGAGGGCCTCTGCTACTGTAACTATCTTAGTGATCAGGAATCCAAATACCCCTACCTGGGCACTGCCTGCATATGCGGCTACTATCAGAGAAGACCATCCACCATTCTCAAGTATTGTTCAAGTGACTGCCACAGATCAGGACCAGGAGGTGGGCATTATGACATCATATTATGAATTTCTGTAATTCTAGTATACATTTTTATGGGAGTTGAGTTGAATAAAGTTTAATGACAAAAGAGGCATGCCTAACAGTTGATGATGCAGCACATGGTGTTTCCTTATTATTTCCTAAGCTTTTTAAATGTATTAATTTTGTAGTTATTTGAAGTAAACATGATGATATTTATGTTGCTCTCTTGTAGGACAAACTCACCTATGATATTGTGAATGAAATTGATGAGAAAGCACTCAGCAGTGGAGCATCTGATAACTTCTACATTGACACAGACACTGGCATGATTTACCTGAAGAAGTCTCTCATGAACACTCCATTTACCAGATTTATTGTACGTACTACATAATTCATAAATCCATATCCAGTGAAATCTGATAATTGTAAACATTTATAACGGAAATCATCGCTTATAACAGTTACTTTTTGTCTGTTAGAAGTTCTAACTAGTAAAATGGTCGACATTAAATAATGTATTTTGGATTTTAGGAAGTGAATATGGCTGTTCCTTTCCCTTATTTTACCTTTGCTTTTGTTTAAAACCAATAAAGGAAGTTGAAATAACATTAAAAACATTTTTTTTTTTCATTCCAGAAAGCAGGTCATCTAGTTTAAAAATTAGTTTATATTTGCATCTTTAAATATTAGTCATTTTCTGTGTATTGTATTTATCACTCAAGAATTGTTAAGATAAACCATCTTTTTGTCCTCTTGTAGTTGACAGTTCAGGCCTGTGATGATGGTGTACCACACAAGTGTGCCAATACAACTGTAACTATCTCCATCAGTGCAGATAAAAATGCCCCCGTGTTCAACAATGCTCCATTTAGTCAGACAATCACTGAAAACTATGTTGTTGGACAGCAGGTTCTTGTGGTGACTGCTGTTGACAACAATGCACTTGTAAGTAGCTCTTGGTGATGACCACTATTTGTCTAGTAAATCTAAAATGATCTTGATAAGAGTTATTGTTTTGAGGTTGATAACATGCACTAATGACAAGTTTCTTGTTTCCTCAGCTTTTTGTGTTGTATTTCTTAAAATCATCTTTTACTTTTATTTTCAAATGAAAGTATATTCAGCTGATTCATACAATTAGACTTAAATACATTATACGCAAAAATATTCTCAATTTATTTAGGTTTTATTCCCAGATGTAACTTGGTTTTAATTGTCAAAGCTAGTACAAGCTTCCTGAATTATCTAGCTAAGAGTTGTGTTATGTCTGGTTCAAATCCAGTCTCCGGGTTAAGCAGTTTATGTATGCTAATTATTATTAACATTTTTGATGTATGATTAACTATATCGCCTTTTGCCCAAATAGTCAGAATATGACATGTCTCCAATATTTTCTACAAATTATTTATTTTCTTTACTGAACTTATTACTTGGCTGGTGTCTGAAATGATGATTCCATATTTTTTTTCAATTCTTCATTCTTGGCAAAGTGAGATAATGAGCACTACTTTAAAATTTAGAAACAAAAATAATTTTAAGCTTAATATGCATATCATCTTTTGTAAATTTTCCTATTCTAAGTACAAAATATGGTATTTTTCAAGAAATATGAATGCTGGGGTAGGTATATAACCTGGAAAACATTACTTCTGAATCATGTCATGTTAAGGTTTTTGGTTTTTGTTTTTTTTTATTTATTTATTTTTGGCCGGGGAGGGGGGGGGGGGGGGGGTTATAATTTAGAGCATGTTTATCTATGGAAAGTGAATTGGATACGATATACCAATTTTTTACATTTAAGCATGCAGTATTACTTGTACATTGGTTAACTATTTTACTGTAGTTAACAGTTTCATAACCTTGTCTTACTATACTGATGATGTTTCCTGTATTATGTAATCAGGTTGGGACAGTAAGTAATCAAGTCTAAATCCAGACACACTCAATATATTCCATATACACAAGCAGCAAATATATATTATAGATAGTTTACTTTGCCGCTGTTACGTCCTGGGATGTGTACAGGCCACTCCATCTTGCTTTTCTTCATTGCTTCAGGATGTATTATGTTTGGATGCCAATTAATGTTTCATTCCGTCTGTCTAGACATTATCGCATTTGGAGATATGTCTCAATACTGTGGTAGAAATGAAAATTTTAATTACTGAATGTTGGTCACTGGTTTCATAGGGACTTGGGATTCTAATTGCATGAAAGTATGTCTAAGAATTACATGTATGAGATAAAATTTGCATGTTGGGTACTGGCATGGTTGCTTTTAATTCTGCTATCTAGTAGGCTATTGTCTGTCAATTTAATAATGATCTTTTCTTTTTTTCTTTTGACCCTATACAGTATAATAAAAGTGTTCCATTAAAGATAGCAGACTTCTCGTACATGGAATTTTTAAAAATGCATGAATTAAATAATGATTTATCTTTAGTTGAACTTACTTTTTAGTGATACAAAAAGAAGACTTCTTATTTACTTCTCAATTTAAAGGAGACTCCTGTAGATTCTGAGGCCACCTGTTCATAGTTTATCAGATCAACATCATTGATATAAGAATACCAAGGGGCCCTGTATTGTTCATTTTCTAGTTTTAGTTTAAAACTGTTCTCCTTTTCTGACCAATCTGGGTGTGATTTGACAATCTCCATCCTTCATAATGTATATCCAAATACTATTTTGTAGCATCCCTATTTCTTTAGTCCCATTTAATATAATTTATATGATATAGCATACTATCATCATGGCATCGAGAGATAGGTCATAAGGTGATATCTTTCCCTTTTCCTTCTTAATTTTTTCCTTAGCCTGTAAAGATTTATAAATATCAAGTGTTTAGTTTATATATTTAGTTTTCCTTTGAACTAAAAGAAATTTTAACTGGATGTATTTAAGATAAAAGAAAACTAACATTTGCAGTAAATTCAGGTCTTTCTTTTAAACAAATTAACAAAAAGCCACAAATTATAAAAACTTCAATTAATGTTCATGATTATTAACATCAATTTTAAGCTTATTATATTTTTTTTTTTACAGTCTGCTATAAGATATATGATGGAACCTCCTGTGCCAAGATATTTTGCTATTAATGAAGCAACTGGAAACATTACTGTTGCCAAGGCACTCAATACTTCCTTGGAGACCACATTCAGTGTAAGTAAACATTCTACTGAAACACTGACAATGTTTATAGTCTGTTATTTTACTGAAATGCTAAGAATGTGTAAAAATTAACTTTACTGAGACATTGACAGTATCTACAAAGAAATTCTACTGAAACACAGACAATGTTTATAGGGTTGTTTGACTATAATGCTTACAGTATTTTACAGAGAAGTTGTAACAGTTTTTCATTACAATGTACATGATAAATTTTGTGTCAATAAGGGTTATTAACTTCTATCGATGTTTTGGTGGAATTTTACCTTTATTTCTATTTTATAGTTCAAAATTTCAACTTATGACAGTGGAGAGCCACAGTACAAGTCTACAGCTGATGTCACTATCTTCGTTATTCGTAACCTGAATCAACCCCGCTTCCTACAGAATCCCTACAACATTCAAATTGATCAGAATGCCAACTATGGGTCTACAGTGATCAATACCACAGCTGTAGATGATGACAAGGTATACAAATTGTAGATGACCAGAACCCACAATGCACTGGATTCAAACTTTTCAAAGAAAATCTCAGAAATGTATCAATACAATGAAGGGAAATTAATAAAAAAGACAAAGATTGATACTATTTAATATACCATAAAAAAAAAAGATCATTCACTGGTCAGTGTTCATGTTTCTTGTATGGTTGTATTTAATCAAAATGTTTTTCATGATTTTGCAGGATATTCTCCGGTATACAATGACTGGATCTGGTAATTCCCAAATACAGACAGAAGTTCAGATGTATTTTGGCATTGGTCCTGATGATGGAATTGTCTACCTTAAAGAGTTACTGACCAATGTTCCAAGGCAATCATACCAGGTACTATATAGATGTACGAGTAGTATCATGTATACAGTTAAGGATAAGAGTAATATAGTCTTGCATATCCTCTGTAGAAGAATTCTATGTAAAAACGTTAATCCAACTACACACAAAAAAGAAATAACAATACTAAATGGTTTGAATAAAGTAAGTCTTTTTAAATGTGTTGTTTATAAAAACCTTAAATGTTCATAGTTAAATTGAAATTTACTTTTTTTCTATTTTCATTTGCCAGAAAGAAGACTAATATTGAAAAGAGTGCAACAAATAAAAAAATTGTTGACTTTTTTTTCAGTTATTTGTATTTGCCAGAGATCAGCGTCCTGTAAATGAAAAAACTGGCACAGCCACTGTGAATGTGCAAATCGATTTTGATGAAACTCCACGTTACCTTGACAACTTGCCTTACGTTGCCAACATTATGGAGTCACACACTATAGATTCACTTGTAGCTCAGCTAAGGGCAGAAGATCCTGACCTGAAGGTAGATGTCAACTGCTTAATTATAGACACCATAATTCATCATAATACTATAAATTATAGGCAGAGGTCTGGCAAAAATTACGCTGTATCTACCATTCAGACTACTGTCCTGTGAGTTTTAACTAGTTTTTGGTAAAATGACACACTAGTCCTGTTTCAAGCCTGAAAATTATGGTTTTGTCCATTCCAGTAAGGTTATGGATATCTGCAAGCAATATGTATTCCCTGAATACAATATAGTTTAAAGCACTTTTTGAAGCAATTTTCCCCTCATAAAGCTATTGAAAGGAGAGAACAATATACACCTGGTTTTGTTTTATTTAGGGTGATCTTACTTATGAAGCCATTGGAATGTACCCTGCTGAAGGTTATTTCAGTGTCAACTCCTCCACTGGAGCTGTTAGGTTGATTAGAGATCTGAAAACTGATCCATCTGGACTTACAACATACACTGTAATTCATGATTTTTCTCTTTTTTTTATTCCTATTAATTTATTTTATGGATGAACAATCAATTTATACTTAAATGTACCTTTATGTCATATACTCTTTTTTTTTTTTATTAATCGGTACTTGTATCACAATTTATTATCAATGTTAATTGTTTTAGTTGCTAGGAAATTTAATGAAATATTCTGAAAATAGCTTAACTATTGTTTTCTTACCTTCTTTGTTGATATTGAACAGCTGCGTGTTGTGGTTTATGACTCCCTGTATCCACGATTAAAAGCAACAGCAGATGTCCAAATTGGTGTCACCAGAAATCCATTTGCCCCGTCCTTCTCTCCGTCAGCCGACTACAGTGCTACAGTACAGGAAAATGTGACTCTGGGCTACCCTGTCTTAGACATTAATGCTACCGATGTGGATAATGTGAGTTACATCATTTCTTATTTTGAAGTTGATAATATTAAAGGAAAGGTTAAATTGAACATGTTAGCATATTCTGTTCATCACAGAAGCTAATGATTTGTTATTTATTAAGCAGTTTATTATGTGTTACACAGTAGTCATTGCCTTTTTGTCATCCCTTTTTTTCTTGTATTTGTTTCTTTAGGATCCTGTAACATTTGCGATTGTGGCATCAGTACCTGCTGGTGGAGAAAATTTCTTCTACCTTGACCCTAATTCTGGGCTTTTGACAACAAAGAGGTTGCTGACAACAGCCCCGGCTAACTTTTATCAGGTGGGAGGGATTTTCAATATTAAGTTCTGTGGATTGGTTTAAATTCACAGGTGTATAATTACAATACATTAATGAAATTTGAGTTCGAGATAACGAGATTTGACTATTTTGCCTTTTAAACATAAATTAATTACTATTTCTTGAATACACTCTTGTATTGAGAGTGCAAAAAATATTACAAAAAATATAGAATTTTTTTTTTTTATAGATGACAATCCAAGCCTCGGATGGGAGAGGCAGAGCTGCGAATGCCACAGCCAGAATTACCATCACCCGTATTCCTACAGACCAGAGGCCATTCTTTGTTTCTACCCCTAATAGAACCATAACATTCAGAGAGGCTGTCAACAGTCAAATTGTCACCGTGATTGCACAAGATCCGAACCCAGTGGTAAAGAAGTTTTCACTGTTTATCTGAATACTTAGTCAAACATTAATGTAAATAACATCCAAATTTTCTATGGGATAGGATGCCATGCTTCTTTCAGTAGAAAATCATTTCAACATTGAGCTCAGAGGGAAAGTGAGAACTGGCTGTTGCAATAAAAAAAGTACTTTCATTGAAAGAAAATTTTCATTACAGTGAAATATTTTGAAGAAATAGGAATCATGCAGATTAACTCTTTTGTAATTACTTAAATTTATGTAAACTACCTAAATTAAACATTGATATCTCATCTAAGCAATGAAACATTTTTTTACAGGGAAGCATAAGATATGAACTTGTTGGAATTTATCCTGCTCAGGATTTCTTTGCTGTCAACCCGACAACAGGAGTGGTGAATCTGATAAGAGATCTTGCTACTGACAATTTTGAGACTATGCAGTACACTGTGAGTAGCACTTTATACAAATATTTTGAGGTATTTAAAGGAAGCATTTGGACAAACTTGAGAAATTTGCCCGATGAGAATAAGTGCAGATGGTTATACATTTAAGAGTAGAGATTTTTTTTCTGTATCTCTTTGAAACTTAAATAGATTGATGGGTACATTAAATTTCATATTTAAAATTGTAAAAAAAAAAAAAAAAAAAAAAAATTCTATATCTATATATATATATATTTAAATGAATTCATTTGCTAAAATTTTTGTAATTGCCAATTTTTCACTTAATTTATTGGAAGTTATTGAGCCTTAGAAGAGAACTAGATATGCAGTAAATATATAGGTATAAATAATCATGAAATAAAGATTAACATGACTGGAATTATTCATATTTTTTTATAGCTTCGGCTTGAAGCATATGATACAAATAACCCAGACTTGAGAGCAGTTGGTCTATCCTTTATCACCGTAATCAGAAACCCAGCCTCTCCAATATTTGAAGTTGGCGATTACTCCATGGTAATTGAAGAAATTCAGCCAGTGGGATCTATTCTACTGGAAGTTAATGCTACAGACAATGATCAAGTAAGCTACTTTACCATGGTGTCGAGGTGTTTTACTGTCATATGGAGAAGGGTATAAATATTAGGAAATACTATGTTTGGGATTTCTTCTTTAAGCCTTGCAACAAGGGATATGTTGGAATCAATGGGATTGTTCAACTAAAAATTGATAAAGCTCTTTTTTTCCGGCTTTTCTCAAATGGTACCAGTCATGCATATATTAAATATTTTGTGTGTTGTATGATCTGGATGCTACATTTGACTTACATTAAATTTTCATGATCCAATAAATGAAGTAAAATGCAAGGTTTAGCTAGGCATAGGTCACTTTTTGGCTTATCTCAGATGGTGTAATGCATGCATCAGACTCTGCATCTGACATATTTTTCATGCACGATGACTAACCTGTCTTGTTTTGTTTTGTTTTTTTGTTTTTTTGGTGATAAAAATAATTTATAAACTAAAATGGTTTATCTTTATTCAGTTTAGTATTTAGCATCTTTATTATCTTCTGTCTACAGAATCAAGTACCATTTGATATATGTTCACAGGATCAAATACTAAATTATAGATTTACAGGATCAAGTGCTTTTTGTTAATTTACAGGATCAAGTACTGTATGATGTTGTACAAGACTCTGATGGAATTCGTGCTAATGAGTTCTTCTTGGTGAACAGAGAAAATGGAAAGATATACCTCACGAGGGATCTGAGATCTACCACCCTAAATTCATTCACGGTTTGTAGCTTTTTTTTTATTTTTTTTTTTTATATATATATAGTTCCAAAATGTTCTGTACATTAAGAGGAAAAAAGATTCATTAAAATAATATTACATTCTTCAGTATAAACCTAGTACTTATATCAAGAGAGATGGTAATTTAAAATTGGATTTTATATTGAGTAGTCTTTGTAATTTTTTATCTTCAGTTTTAATTGTTTCTGTTTATATACACATTACTTTGTTGTGAATGATAATTTTTTATCTTAAAATTCTGAAAACTGCAGTTCCAAGTTCGAGCTCGTGACCAAGGTCGTCCAGAGAAATTTGCTACAGCAAGAGTTACATTCACCATTAGAAGAGACAATGGTCCTCCGTCTATGCAGCGGGAATATTTTGCCCAAATACCTGAAACAGAACCAGTGAACAACATCATTCCATTTACTTCTATACAAGCTATAGACAATAACATAAGGGTAAGGTCATTAGTGAACAAGGCAATTGTTCCTACATGGAATTTACATAAGAAGAGCCCAAAATGATAATCAACTGAATTTTTTCAAGTGAATATGAAACTCTTATTGTGATTTCTTTAACAAATGTAAATTCAACTTGATTGGAAAATTGGTGTTAAAGATATTTCCAATATCCAACCCACATTAACATATGAAATGAGACTACATGTTGGTGGAAAGAAGTACAGATGCAATATGTAGTTGTGAAATAAATTTAATAGGCATAGGATGTGAATGTAAGCAACATGAATGACAAAGGTGATATGTGTATAAGTTAGGACAGTTGAATTTTCAAACATAGCCTCTGTTATCAAAATGAAAATATAGAATGAGTCAAATTGACAATTGTTTGACCATTTCAGGGATCCTTAGTGTATGAAGAAGAAGGAGATGGACTTGCTATGTCATATTTTGCTTTGAACAGAAACACGGGAGCAATCACTGTACAAAAGAGCCTGCTTACAACCAATGAGACAAATTTTGTGGTAATTTACACAATTTATTAGAAAGAGTCCCTTATTTTTCACAAGTCCACAGTGCCCTTGAAAATTCAAATATGGACATAAGAACTTAAATATTATTACATGGTTTTTTCCCAAAAGTCTAAAGAAGCTTTGTCATGTTTTTGTTTTAATAGTTAAGGGCCATAGCCTACGATACTTACTACCCAGACAATAAAGCAAACACTACAGTCAGAATCACGGTGATTCGTAATGCTAATGCACCACAGTTCAGCCAAAGTGCCTACGAGACCGAGATCAACGAGTACCATTCCTTTGGTGTCACTGTATTCACGGTTTCTGCAGGCGATGCAGACAAAGTAAGAAATTAAGCACTCCTACTGTTGTTTCTTTTTGTCTTTGATTTCCATGTGTATTATTATTGATATCATTATTATTAGATTCTAAGATACTGGAAACTAATTGTATTCGCAGCTACTTGGAATATACAGTGAAAGATTGTAACTTATGGATGATTGTCATCCAAAGTACTTTGAGTGTCAGTCATATAAGATACTGTAAAAAGATGCTCTTATGAGTGCTTTAGAATACAAATATTTTACATTGTGAATGTCGTTATAGATAGTATACTGATAAAGTTGATGACAAATTATCTAGAGAGAAACAGTGAAACGCAAAGAAAGGATTCAGATATTACCTGGTTTTTCTTACTTAACAGGATGTAGTACTGTTTTCTATTGAACCACCAAATGACTACTTCTACATTGAGAAGTACAGTGGCAGAATCTACATTCGAAGATCTCCCAGTGAAAATCCTTCAGTATCAGAGTACAAGGTAAGTTTGCAGGAAACTTGAAACAAGATAGAAAAAACTTTATTAGATATATGATTGATTTTAGGTGCATGTGATATTTGAATTTCAGTTGACAAGTTTACTTCTGGTACTGCTTAATACTGATTTTTCTTCCTCAGAATTTAGTTTCATTTTCAGATTTACAATGTTTGAGTTTTGTCTTTTTTAGTTCTATGTCTTGGCAAGTGATCAGAGAAGTCCACCAAGGATCAGCAATGCAACAATGACCATCAGAATCAGAAGGAACCAGCCCCCTAGGTTCTTAAGATTGCCAGAATTTACTTCTGTGTCTGAGAATGCTGCAGATAACTTTGTTGTGTACACAGTGTCAGCAACAGATCCAGACCAGAGGGTAAGTAGATGTTGACAGAAGGGGTTTCAAAACCCTTTCTGAGCCTGTGTCATTTGTTTAGAGTTTGCACTGAAAATCTGAAGCTTGCTACAACAGATAACCGATGATTCAGTTATCTTGCGGAGCCATGAATAGTTAACAAAAGGGATCCAAGGATGTCTAAAACTTGCATGTCTAAGATAAATCTTTAAAACTCTTCTTTTCAAGAACTTTAGGGGTCAGGGCTTTTAAATGGATTATAAACTTTTTTTCTAATCTTACCAAGAAGAAATTCAGGGCTGCGAATTGTAAATTTACTGTGAATTAGATATTATTGTCCTCGTGCAGTGTATAATCATATTTTTCCACATAATTACTCTTGAACCATGTGGAGATGTTGTTTTGGCTCTCAAGCTTACAGGGAACAATGGAGTAGATAAAAATGAATAGCACACACTATGTGGCACTGGGAAAAAAAACCTAACCATTTAGCAGACAGGTGATCATTAAGGTGCCTTAGCCCTTTGTTGATTTTCCATAGTCAGGTGATCATTAAGGTGCCTTAGCCCTTTGTTGAGTTTCCATAGGTGATCATCAAGGTACATGAGCCCTTTGTTGTGAATCCACATGTGATCATTAAGGTGCATGAGCCCTTTGTTGTGTTTCAAAGGTTGGTGCCAGACTGGTGTACACATTGGTTGGAGATGGTTCTGGGCCAAGCTTTTTCACTCTGAATAACTATACTGGAGAAGTGAGACCAAAAGCGGGATTGAGAAATGACACAGCATTACAATATGTGGTGAGTATATTTTGATTATTATATGTTTTAACTTATGTTAAGGACAACATTACTTGAAGGAGTTAATAATGAAAGAGTTGAAAATCTTTGCTATGAACCTTCTGAAGTTCTTTACAGTCCTGGTATGTGTAATTTTGTTTAAACAGTGGGTACCTATGTTTTCTTGGGTAAAGACATCCAATTTTCATGACAAAGGCACATGGAAAATTTGCTTTTAGTTTTACAACCAAATGCATGTCCCAAAAAGTATTTTTCTGATTGTTTTGAAAGTTTAATCACATGGAGTGATAGTATGGTGTAATGATCACAGCCTCTGGCATATCTAAAATCTCACCATTTAGAGCTCAAACAAAGCTTGGCGAAGTGACTGCCTCAAAAGCCACCAACCCAAGCTTCACTAATCCATTTGCCTTTTTCAAAATCGGAAATATTCTAGACCAGAAAAAGTGGTGAAAGTAAATTATGCCATTTGCTTTGGACTTTCGTGGACTTGCTACATTTTCTTGGTTTCTTTTCAGTTACGAGTTTCTGTTTATGATGAGGATATCACTGAAATGAGGACCACCAGTACATTAACAATCAGTGTACTAAGGAACACAAACCAGCCTCTATTTACTCAGCGGTCCTATGTATACAACATCACAGACACAACAAGACCTAGTACCATTGTAGGACGTCCCACAGCTTCTGATTTAGATGGAGTAAGTTCCTGGTATTAGATATACATGTAAATTTCACAAACTGAGAAGCTCTCAGTAAAAAAAAAAAATAGTGCATCCTTCTATATAAATGTTTTATACAATTTGCCAAAGTTTTGCATTGTATGATTTGGCACTACTTATTGCATAAAGGGGACAACCTTTTAAACTGAAGATTTTTAAAACAGTAGTCTTATCTGTAGAACTGATCTGTTAAGTAGAGGAGTATGCTTTATTTTTCTGTTTGATATGTATAAGTATTTTATAAGTCAGCTAAGTAAGGTGTTTTAAAAGTATTTCACAGGAAAATTGACTGTGGTTTAGTATAAGTAACTTTTTTTTACAGGGCAATCTAGCTGCAGAAATTTACTATCTAAATTTTACAAGCCCAATTACTGTTATTTGGTATTTGTAACCATTTTATGTTACAGTACTTACGTATTTTTTTTAACTGTTTTTCAGGACAAGTTACAGTATTATTACACTGGGGATGCAACTCATCTTGAATACTTCTATGTGAATAGAGACACAGCTGAAATTATCCTTATCAAGAACTTGGACACTACAGCTTTAAGAACATTCAATGTTAGTCTACATTTTTGCTCCTTGTTAAATAGCTATTGCGGTATTGAGAGCGTATTATCTTTACTTTGGTTCAAAACAATGATGCAGTTATATAATGATTTTTATTGAAAGAATACAGAATGTCAGTGTTATTTTTGTTTCAGCGTTTTATGACTGTCTTTGTAAATGATGCAATACCATCTACTGTTTGCTATTTATCACTATGCAATTAAGTTTTTTACTATTTTCAAACATATAAAGAAGAATTTGTCCAGTAATTTAATAAATTTTCATTTAATAGCTGCAAATAAGAGCAGAAGATGGCAGAGTTCCACTAAAATCTGACACGGTTCAGGTCACCATTAACATAGCAAGAGATCTTGAGCTACCAGTGTTCTTTAACAGACCCTACACATTCAATACTGATGAACAGAAACCAGTGAACTTTACTGTAGGATCCGTAACAGCAGTTGATCCTGACATCAGGGTAAGAAACTGAGACTTACATGTCTATCAACATTTCTAATTGGATGTTTTTCGTAAACATGTGAAAGTACTGGTTTGTTTGAATTTGATTTCAAATCTGCCTTGTTGCAGCAAGCTTAAGGGTATTTTTTCCTCCAGTTTGCCTGATTATTGCCAACACTGATAACCAACCATTTGCGTGTGCTTTTTTTTTTTTTTTTTTTTTTTGACTGGCAGTTCCCTTGTGCATACCACATTTTCTATGCCTATAATGGCTTGCAATAAATATTAAGTTTTTTCTTTAAAAGTCATGGATGTGTCTCCCACACTTACATAACTATAAAATGGGGGGGGGGGATAAAAATTGAATCAGAGAAATTATGTAGATGTATTTAGGAGATCATTTTCCAATGTTGTTAACACTGATTTGCTGTATTTAATAGGATGGATCAGTAAGTAAATATATCTGTCATGGCAACAGATACAACAAATCAAAGACTACTTGTACACACTTTGCTGCAGTAGAAACATTTATGTATGTAAACAACTCCACATAAATTATTCTTACCGCTGTTCTAGAAATCATTGGTTTTCTTCATTAGTATCTTTTAATGAAAAAACATACCTTGAAGAGGGGAAATAAAATGAGATCTTAGTATAAAAGGGAACTACAAATAAATGAACATAGAAAGTTTGAAGGGGGGGGGGGTCTTAGATGTGGAGTTGTTTGTAATTGCTTTTTTTTCTGATATGTACATGTACTATATCTGCCTCCAGCCATCTTGTGCTTTCTGGCTTTGAGTAAAGTTATTATATGGTAGGTGGTAGGTTTCATTGAATCTCTGAATAAGGTGAAAGTTTCAAAATTTATACCAAGGTTTTCCTTAAGAAAAGTATTGCATGCATTTCTTAAAATACAGGGATTGAATATGGTGTTAGCATCAGTGACATCAAAAAATGTTTACTGTAATAAAAAAAGTAACAGTTGTTCAGTCATTTAATGCATGTTGAGTACAACTTTTGGTAGAGGCTGCATGGTAAATATGACATACATGACTCATTTATATAAGATCTGCATGAATACTGGGAGTAGGATCATTAGATTAATTTGACTAGGTTAATCTGAATGAAACTTTTTTTTTGTGCCAAAGAAAACCTTCATAAAAATTTGAAAATGTATAAAGTAATTTTAGTGTTATTCTTATCATAAGCTCCTGATAGTCCATAAAATGTATCTCATTCTGATATAGTGTTTTCCATCAAGCCTTAACTTTTTGTCCCACCTTTTGCTCCAAACCAGTTAAAAAATCTGCTGAACTCTCCACTATCAAACCAAATCAAATGCATGGTTATATACTCAACCCTGATTTGTCAACAATCCTCCAATCTTTTCTTACCTTCCCATTCATATATATTTTACCCATGTAAGATAAGATACTCTATTTATTATGGTCCTAGTTTAAATCCCTTTAATGCAGTAAAAAAAGACTTTGTTTGTAGAGAAAGGTCATTTTCTCTATGAAGTCATACTTGAAGATTTACATTTCACAAGGCATTTAATCATTCCCAGTAAAAGAATATAATATTTTCAGTCATATTTAGACATATTTTATAATAGTTTTAACTTGACAAGTATATTTCAAGCTCTAAGAATTGATCTTTCCTTGAAAATAAGGTTGTTAAGTACAGAGATATATATGTAATAATAACTGTTTGGATATAGCTACTGTTAAAAAACATTTCTATTGTTCTTTAAGATCACTAACAATTTGACTAAAAAAATTTACCCTTGAATTATTGAATGAATCTTATGTATAGTCTTAACCAATTCTATAATAAATGTGAAATTGTATTTTAGGGTAAGATTCAGTATGAGGTAGTAGGAATTTATCCAGCTCCCTCTTTCTTTGATGTGGATAAGGACACTGGAGCAATTAGAATCGTAAGAGATCTGAAGGAGGATAAATCTGCTACAGGAACCTATGTGGTAAGTTTTATCTCCACTAATATATTCTTCTTATGAAAATAGATTATAGTTGGAAGGGTTTTTTGCTTGTCTGAGGAAAAAAGCATTGAAAATGAGAATTTGGAAAAAAAAAAAGAGAAATTTTGGAGAAAATGATCATACAAACAAAAAGTGACAAAGTGTACCTATTGGAATGTGTCTTGAACTGAAAAAGTACTATAGAGATCTACATTTTCAGCTAAGAATATCTGCATATGACTCGAGAGATCCTAGCAAATTCACTACAGAAGATGTAACAATCAATGTGGCTAGGAACCTTAACCCACCAAGTTTCAGTCAAAATCCATATGCCACAACTATCACAGAATTATACCCCATGGGAATACCTGTCCTAAACATCTCAGCCACAGATTCTGATCAGGTGGGAGACTTTACTCTAAATAATTAAAGTAACCACCAGCCGTATGTACAAAAAGATGGTCCATCATCTACATTTCCATCTCTTCCCAGGATATCTATGAATATATAAGATTTTGAAGGCAAAGATTTACTCATGATTTCTTATTTTCTATTCTTTAGAATGTCCATATAGTTTATTTGCTATTTTTCAGGATGCTGTATCATACTCTATTGTTCGAGACAATACTGGTGGAAGTTCTTTGGTATATTTCTACATTGATGCCAATGGGCGCTTGTATCTGAGACAACCACTGACATCCCCTGATGTGCCAGGACAGTTCAGTGTAAGGCTTTTTTAATGTTGTTTAAGTAAAATTTTCATGAAAAGGCTTAATGTTTTGGAACATTTTAATTTTATAAATGTTTAGCTTGTCTAATATTCAAGAAACTTTTATGTTTATGGGAATGTTACCATTAATATTATCGTTATTTTCTTTCTAGAATTCTTGAATTACAATGCTTAAATCAAATCATCATTCAGAAAGAATACTGTTTACAATAAATTTTTCCAATTTGTAAATCATATCTCTGTATGTATTAGATGGTTGTTGCTGCTACTGATTCTGGAAGACCAGCACGAACAACAGAAGTGAATGTGTTTATCACTGTTACCAAGATTAATCCACCTAGATTCCTCGGTACTCCATACTCGAGGATCCTGGAAGAAAGAACAGCTAATGGTTCCAGTATCCTTACCGTACGTACAGATCCCTCAACTGACATTGTGTATGAGATAGTGGGAGAGCCACCGGCACCGTACTTGTTCTTTGTGGATCAAAACGGAGATATTCACATTAAGAGGGATTTGACAACAGATAAATCAATGCAATACAAGGTAATACTCTTGCTTACTTGAGGTGATTTGAATAATCATTCCTAAAGTATATATAGAAATGCATAATTTTTAGAGCTAGATTTTGTAATTTGGGAGGGTTTTATTTTAATAGGGCCCGCTATAGTCCTGAGTATTTCCATCCCCTGTCTGTCCATCTGATACTATACTTATCCAGAGCTTTTCTTCTATCCCTTGGCCCAGTCTGCATTATACTTAAAGACTGAGTGTTTGTAACTAAAGGATGCATATAGTGTCCCTGATTATGGTCACCTTCTCAGTGATTTAGTATTAAATCTAAAATATCCTCTTGTAAATCATATTAGTTGATAGCCTCTATTGCATATGAAGAGTTTACAGAAGTATTATGGAATCTGGTATCTTTCAAGTAAAATTCTTTTTCTAAAACCTTCCAGATAAGAGTCCGAGCCTACCAGAGAAACACACCTTCCAAGTACTCTGAAACAGAAGTGGTGGTCAACATGCAGAGGAATGTCAACCCTCCTGTGTTCACCCCAGACAGATTTGACATTAATATTAATTATGATGATCCTGTGGGCAGTAGAATCATTCAAGTACAGGCTGCAGATGCAGACCAGGTGTGTATTACCAAAAACTACCAAAATCAAATAAAAGGACATTACTTCACAGGACCGTTTATGTATGCTGATTTACCATTTACTTGTTTACTACAAAAAAGAACTACTAGAAATGATTTTTAGCTGAGCTGGAGAGAGATTTTTTCTCGGTGCAAGAGTCAATAGAAACTTGTCAATATTGATATTTCTTTTTTTTCTAGGATGTCCTTCAGTACAGTATTACTGGAGATGCTGCTTGCCAGAATAGCTTCTACATTATCAGTGCTACTGGAGAGGTGTTCCTGGGCAAAAACCTGAAAACCACCTCAGACGTCTTATTTCAGGTTAGTTTGTGTGATGTTTTGATGTTATCCTAGTTATTCATTTCAAGCACTTGTCTACAATAAAATAAAAAAGATTTCAAAAAATCATGAAGTAGATAAACATAGATTTCTTACAAACATTGAAATGATTTAGCTTACCTGCAAATTTCGCCATGAATACAGATACAGTGGGAATTTTTTAAACTAATATCTGTTAGATACTGTAGTGAAAATGGGTTATTTCCAATGATCTTCTAAACGATTTGTGTGTTGCATGTTCCTGTTAAAATCATAAAAAGTTTTATTGTACCTCGGCACTGAGAAAAATAATGTTTTACTTACAGTGTACATTAAGTGTGACAGACAATGGGTATCCAACACCAAAAGTTGACACTGCACCAATGGTCATCAGTGTAATCAGGGGAACAAACCCAGTGTTTGGATCTCAAGACACCACTGTCAATTTGCGTGAAGACGTTCCAGTGAATACTCAAGTTGGAAACCCTATCACCGCAACCAGAACTCCCGCACCCCAATTTCCTGTAAGCATTTTCATTAAAAATTATGATAGCCTTTCATTATCCACCTACTGTTTAAAAATTTTGTACAGTATACATGTACACTTGCATAGAATTCGTTGGTCCTTGTGTATTTTATATTAAATTTATCTCAATGATATAATTTTTTCTGGTAGAATACTATGGTGTATGAAATCATTGGTCAGTATCCAGCTCAGAGCTTCTTTGGTATCAATAATGGAACAGGTCAGATTAGAGTCATCCAAGATCTTCGCTCCGATGGATTGAAGACCAATCAGTACAAGGTAAAAAAAAAGTCAGTGTAAACTTACACTAATGGTTAAACTAAAAGTTTGTCACTTAATACTTTCAAGTTTTCAGTTCTATGGTTATTCATTACTGACTTGTATTTAGGTGTTGGTCCTGGCTTATGGAACTGACAAACCAGACCTTAGAAGCACAGCCACAGTGACCATTAATGTACAGAGAAACCTGAATGGACCCAGATTCTATCCCCAGACAGATAGAATTGAGTTACCAGAAACTACTGGTATAGATTTCTGGTCCATGCCTCAGAATGTCACAGATCCAGACAGTGTAAGTATCAGCTGATAACCAAGATTTATTACAGTGGAAATATTGTCATCTTCAAGATACAACTTCTACATGTTTCATATGTTTTATTTGCTTGTCAATGAAGAATGCTATTTGAGTAACTGATCCAGTACTGGATTTGTGTTACAAAGCTTTATCTATATTGTTATTTTGTTTTATAAATCTCTTTTTTCAGTCCAAGATCACCTGCTCCATCATATCAGATGCCAAATCGGTGGAGTACTTCAAAGTAGACCCAGATACTTGTGTCCTGTCCCTGAGAAAATCTCTTAAAGATGACCCAGACTTAACAACAACCTACAATGTTAGTTTCTGCATTTGAATAATGCTAGTTTTTACCATTTTCTTGTAAATGTTAATAACAGTTTTGACAAATTTGCTTTATTCCAGCTATTGTATTTACTTTGTTTGATTTCAAGGAAAGAAAATATTTAGAATTAACTAAAAAAAATTATTTTAGTGTGTCTAGTCTTAAATACTGAAGTTGTTTTTATTACTTTTTTCCTTTACCTCACAGGTTGTTATTCAAGCAACAGATAATGGACAGCCACCTCAGTCCAGCCAAAAAACTGTAGTTGTCACCGTTCCTAGAGATTTAAGGAAACCAAGTTTCCAGAATCTGCCACGAACAATAATTATCGATGAAACCAGACAAGCTGGTTTCTCAGTGTTTGTTGTTGCAGCAACAGATGACTTGAGAGTGAGTATATCCTTTAAACAGAAAAAAATTGTTACTAATGAACTGTAGTCGTCACTGAAGGATTCATATTAAAATACATACATGTAAGTACTGCATTAATTATTATGAATTTCATTTTATTCTAACAGGGTAAACTCCAGTACAGTATTGTTGGAGATCTTCCAGCACCAAGCTTCTTCCAGATTGATCCCAATACTGGCAACGTGACTCTACGGAATTCCCCCAAGTCTGATGGATTGGCAAGCAGCAGTTACACTGTAAGAGAAATTAGTCTTAGGAATAATGAAATGTGTTAAATACTGCATAATTTTAAAATTATTTCTCATCTACAAATTAAAGCCACTGTAGTTATCAAATGAACATTTTTCTTTATTAATTTTGTTCTGAAAAAAAATCAATTTTTCAACAAGTGTATTTTTCATAGAACATTTTTATTGATTCTAGCTATTGCAACTTTTTTATTGCAGGTAAGAATCCAAGTTATTGATGATGCTTGGCCCAACAATCCTGAGTATGGTGAACTGACTGTGCAGGTGACCAGAAACAGACAAGGCCCACAACTTAATCCATCAACTTACAACCAGAATATCAGGGCCAGTAACCCTGTAGGCTCTACCATTGTGACCATTGGGGCCTCAGACCCAGATGGGGTATGTTAACTTGCACCTGTTTTATAAACAAATGAAAATTGTTTATATTCTTTTTAAACCAAGAAACTCTTCTTTGAACAATGAAAGGAGAGTGATGTTTGTGTTTAATTGTGTAGAACTTACAATTTCAATGTTTATATCTATTTTATCCCTCCATCATCCTTTTTTTTAATGAGAATTAAAAATATGATTGTCTTTTTTTCTGTATGCAGGATAAACTTGTATTTGTCAACCGTGGAACAGACAATGACAAGAAGTATTTCTATGTTCATCCAGAGACGGGAGCTGTCATTCAAATTGGAGACTTGACTGAACTGTCAGCCCAGACAACTTTCCAGGCAAGTACCTACTGGCAGTTCTCAAATTGGCTTTATCTTTCAATAACAATTCATTCTCTATAATCTGAAAAAATAGTAGTTGAGTTTAATGTATACATTAGTAATAAGAGAAGCCAAAAATAAATGATCAATTAGATTTTTAGTTGTGAGTGGTGCTTTTATACTGGCAAGTAAACAGGCATCACTGAAGGGCCATATTCAATGTTGACCATTTTCATGCATAGATTAAAGAAGAACACTTTTATTTTAGTTCAACGTTGATGTGTCAGACACTCGTCAACCCCAAAACACAGTGACCGCCAGTGTTACCATTACTGTCACACCATTACGAGGACCCCCAGCATTCACCCAGACTTATTACACTTTTGATACTTCTATAGTCACTCCTGTCAATGCTTCTGTTGGAACTGTGTCAGCTGTTGATAATGACTTACAGGTAAAAGATGAAATATTGCTGGATTCTAATTAAATTAATCATATTAACATCAACTGTTTATTTTGTTAACAGGTATATGCACATCAATATTGTTGCTTTAATTACTGGAAAGAAGTAGAAAGTCTTTGAAATTTGGTTCCTGCTGATTTGGCATTGAATTCATACTAAAACAGAAAGTCTTGAAGTGATCACATCTAATTTATTGTGTTGAATTAACAAGATGATAAAGCTTCATGATAATAAGCTATGTTATAACTTAATAAATTTATAGAGATTTAATTGATTCTTAATTTATGCTTTTAATTTGTTTTAATAGCTAATAGAAATTTTCAAAAGTTACAATATACACATTATTGACACTTGTCCATTATCCATGTTAGGGAGCTGTGGTGTACAAAGTAAATGGATTCTCTCCAGGCACGGAATACTTCCGAATGGATCCAGCTGGATCTTTTGTCTATATTAGAGTGAACAAAAGGCTGTTGGACAATCCTAGTGTCACATCATACTTGGTAAGTTCATTTATTTTTATACCCAAGCAATCATCATTATTGCAAAAGGAGGAAATTTAGAAAATAGAGATGGTTTGTGGGGTTTTTTTTTCCTTTAAATCTTGACATCCTCACAAGTAAGATTGGGACTACAGAAGAAGTTCCAGCTTACATAGAATGAGAAGAATTGGGGGGTTTTTTATGAATAAAAGGAAAGCTCTTTAATGTGTAATGTAGAGAATTATTGATTATTTTCATGGCTAATATAGGGTGGACACAGGTTTGAAAATGAAATAATAGAATTAAAGCCATATTATTTTTTACAGTCAAAAATACAGTTTAACTTCAGTATCTTGAACACCCATATTTCAAAGAAATACTATGGATATGTCTAAGTAATTTTGAAGTCCCTACCTTATTATTTAAGTATATTTTACCCTAGATAATCATATCTTGAATCCTCGGATATCTCAAAAGTTTTCCTCTGTCCCATCGAGTTCAAGATAACGAGAGTTGACTATTTCGTAAATTCTTAGTTAGTGACTTCAGTTAAAATAATCTTCATTAATACCATAAATACCAATGATTGCTGAAACATAAATGTGTCATGTCTTTATAAGAGGTTGTTATAATTTAGAACTTGATCTTTTTTTCTTTTTTTTTAATTTCAGCTTTTGCTGGAGGCTTACGATGACCAATACCCAGAAGATAAATCATATGCTTCAGTGACCATAAATATCTTGAAAAATGTTAACCCACCCGTCATCGTTCCTTCCCAGATGTCCGCTACAGTGAATGATTATGACCCACCAGGAACTTCAGTTATTGATGTCAATGCCACAGACTTGGATCAGACTGTAAGGAATGCAAAAGCAGAGTGTTTTCTTTGTTTTGAAAAAAAAATCAATGTCTTTGCTGCTGATAGTTTTAGTTTTTGTGGGTTTATTTAGTGCTATGAATTTTTTTTTTATATATAAAAATGAAAGTAAATCCATCATGATAGAATAATGGCATTGTATTTCATAATCACCTGTTTTGATATGTCATTTTAATGTTGCCCACATGGTAAACTTGGGAGATCACCGTCATTCTTTGATGTTTAGGTCTAACAAATCATACTCTTACATAAATGGGTTGATACTTTTCTTAATCCCCCTCTATTTCATGAAACTTCAAAAAAAATATCCTTTATGTAAGGCATGATGGCATTTAGATTATAAAGAAGGACAAGATTAAGATAATGGATATGTTCCTTAACTTTCTTATTCTTCACGAAGACCTAAAACTTCCTCATTATTAATACAAATGTTACACATGTTCCTGAAACAGACATTCTTTATAAAGAGGGTGAAAGTGAATACTTGTACCCCTTGCAAGTAAGATATAGTTTTTGAGAAGGTTTTATATTGTAATATTTTATTTCCGTAATCCTTAGCTCCCAGAGAAGACACTTCTGTATACTATAGAGGATGGACGTGCTGCCACTGATTACTTCACCATTGATCCTATTACTGGATTAATATCTGTGGATAGAAGGCTGTCAGAAGACACCCTTAGACCATCTGAATACGTGGTATGTATTCAACAGCAATGCAAAATGCTTCAAATGACAATATAGACACACAGGTCTCGAAAGAGAAACTTGATCTCCAAAAATGTTCGAAAAGTGTTTAGGAGTTTTTTTTAATGTCAGATTGATACCAATCATTTCAGAATAAGTCTTTAAATTTGCTCTCTTAAATGATTTTCTTGCTTTACTGGTACTTAGACACCCATTTATTGTTTCTGAGCTTTCATTTGTTCACTTGATTTTGGAATGGGATAAAAACAAGTGATTTTCTTTTGCCCATCTCAGCTGCGAGTCATTGCTAGAGACACCAGTGCAACTCCCCAGTCAGCCACAGCTACGGTGACGGTTAGCGTCAATAGAAACAACAAACCAAGCTTTGTCAATCCTGCCAGTTTTGTATTCAGCCCCTCAGAAGCAGTGGCTGTGTATGATTCTTTATTCGTAGTGTCGGCTTCAGATCCAGACCCACCTGTGAGTATGAATTGTTCATAAATCAGAAATTACAAAAATAACTGAGGAAGTTGATTGTGGAGAAAAAGATTGAAACTTCATACACAATCTTTTTTGTTTTGCAGTCACTACTGAATGGACAATTAGAGTTCTACTTTGTGGGACCGGTAAATGCAAGTCGTGTGTTTGGTATTGATCCAAACTCTGGTAGTATTTTCCCACGCATCAGCTTACAAGATGTCACACAGGATCGCTGGACTTTCACAGTGGGAGTTAGAGACAAGGGAATACCTTCACTGTTTGTGGAGACTCCAGTTACTGCTAATATTCAGAGGATTGGAAAACCTGTCTTTGATAGTGTTAGAATCGACGTCACTAAATTTGAAAATGCACCCTTAGATGAGGTTGTTACCCCAGTTCAAGCCAGAGATCCATTACCAGGTGTAAGTATACAGCTGATCACCATAAATAATGTTATAAGTCACTGGTAAATCTTCTTAATAGCTGTTATTTTGAAAGACACAGATTTTTAGGGGGGATGTATTGAGTAAAACTTTGAGAATGGATAGTTGATATAAGAAGTTAATTGATATGAATTTGTTTTATTTGTTATTTCTCATCAGAGCACTCTTGTGTATGAAATCAGAGGTGATGGATTAGCAGGGGAATACTTCAAGATTGGAACTGATGGAGTAATCAGAATTAACAAGTCCCTATTTCTGGATGATAATAAAACTCCAACATACAGGGTAAAATGTCTTAAATATGTATTTTTCATAATGAAGTCTTTTCAATCTGAGTTCAGATGAAATCTAGTGAAGTCAATTTCACAGGCATTTATGAAATTTTCCATAAATGGGTATGGTCTTGTTAAAATTCAAAACTTTTAAAAGGTCACAAATGTCTGTTCAAATTTCAATCTGCTAAATTTCAGATTCGAGTTGTGGCTTACAGACAGTCAGATCCATTACAGCAGGCGGAGGCATTTGTTTATGTGTTGGTAATCAGAAATCCAAACCAGCCCTTCTTCTCCCATGGAAATCTGGAAGTAACCATTAATGAGAACACGGATATATCATCATTTATTATAAGTGTCAATGCTACTGATAATGATCAAGTAAGTTCCTTGAAATCACTTAGTGCATGTTTTTTTTCTCTATAATAATGCATATAAATTAAGTGTACCCATGGGAACCATCAAATGGCCTCATTCCATCACACTTTTAATTCATTAAAGGCACAAAGAATTTGAACCTGGAGAGCAAAAATTTGATTTAACTCTGGATGCATTTTAATTGAACTTAAGCACCTTTAAAGCATGTTTATAGCCAGTCAGATCTTTTATTAGGAGGAAGTTTTTTAAAAAAAAAATTATGTTAACTTTACTTCTAAATTGTGACTTACTTTCAGGGAGAAAATGGGGAGATTGTGTACTTCTTTAGCAGTCAAGAATCACAACCTGTGTATGCAGCAAACTATTTTTACATCAACCCCACCACTGGTGACATCACTTTGTCTGCCAATCTTCGTGGTGACCCAAACACTCCACAATACCAGGTTGGTAATGCAAAAAGCTGATCTGTATTCTTCATTTGAAGCTAGAGAGTAGATATAAAGTACTTAAACAGTTTCATTTGTTTTTTGTTTTTTTGGTTTAAAAATGAAAAACGAAGTTCAGTTTAGTTGTCAGAAATTTGTAATTTAGTGAGTTCATTTTTTTTTTTTTTGGTGATATTCTTCATGTACTTTTGTATTTTTGAAAAATGAATTTTCTGTATGAGATTTGTTTTGCTATTTAGTTGCGAGTCATTGCTAGAGATAAGGGAGTCCCAAGTAAGCAGTCAGGAGTCACAGTGACAATAAAGATCGAGAGAAATCCACATCCTCCATCATTCATACAAAGGTCATATGAGGCTGACGTCAATGAGAGTATACCTGTTGGAAGCTCAGTGATTAAACTTGATGCTCAGGATCTGGATGGAGTGAGTCAAGTTTACTTTCCACAATTTTAACTCATTTTCTATATTTTTGGTATTGTAAACTAGGTTTTTTTTTTGTTTAAATAAAAATCCATGAAGGACAATTATAATGACAAATATGCAAGCCGACCTACATGTAGTTTCAAGTGTTAGATATAAAGAATATTGGGGAAATCTTGAAAAGAATTTGTCCGAGTATTACATATATATAAACTAGACAACATTGTATAAAAAGCCCTGCACAGACTTATAAGCATAAAAGCATAAATTCTAATAGAGTAAAATTACTTCATGTATCTGAATGATGTCATAATTTTGTTTGTTTTGTTTTTTTATCCTAGGATCCAATTGTATACAACATCACCTATGACCCCCCAGCCTCTTTGTATTTCAACATTGACAGTAACACAGGCTTGATCAGAACGGCCACCACCTTATACCAAGATGAGGCTGACCGATATGTCGTAAGTCTCTCATTTTATTTGAGGAGGACTATTGAAACTAAGGCATGATTTAAGGGAACTTTTGTGTTATCAGAAGAGCATTATTATTGGTTATAAGGTTGATATAGATGTCATTTGTTAATTCTGGTTTGACATTTTATACTGGTTATGTCAGTGCAATATTTTTACTGTTGTCATTACAGCTCCTGGTTACAGCCTCAGACAGGACCCTTCAAGGAACTGCCACTGTGACTATCCGAGTTCATCGCAACGTCCACAGACCTGTGTTTGCAGACCCTAGCCACACCTTGACAATCTCAGAATATGAGGATCTCAACACTATCATCTACCGTGTTGTTGCAACGGATAATGATAACAATCGCAGCAGCAGTGGGATCCTGAGATACTCCCTTTTAAGGACCAGCAGTTCTGTATTTATCATTAGTCCCACCACGGGAGAAATTCAACTTGCACAGTCACTGACCAACAACAAGACTGCAGACCAGTATATTGTTAGTAGAGTTTGAAAATTTTGTATAAGTTTGAAATTTTGTGAGGATTAAATTATTACCATTAATTCCCTCCCACTTAGAAGTAATCATTCAAATATTGCTCTGTTCAGACTTGATAATTTTCTTTGAGAGGAATCTTCATTGTAAGAAAAAGTTTCAACATTTATGGATGATATACTCTTGCAATATTTGTAGGTTTTACGAAATGTGACATTTGTTTGTAGACATCGGAATATATTTACAGTACTACATTGTGATTTATTGTGTATTGATCCATCAGTTGTCACCATAATTTTCCTCTTTGTGAAAGAAATTTTCAGTGTTGTAACTTTTTATTTTTTTTTCTGTAACAGCTCACTGTCATGGCAAAAGATGTCTCAAGTAATCCCAAAAACTCTACTGGAACTGTAACTATCAACATTGTCCGCAATCAATATGCTCCAGAGTTTAATTCACAAGTTAACATAACAACAGCTAAAGATTTAGACAGCTATGGAACTTCTTTAGTCAATGTGTCAGCAACTGATAGAGACAGAGAGAATCCATACAGTGTAAATGTAAGTACTTTTTTTATGCCTCTGATCACAATGCGAAATAATCTGGAACAGTTAAAATACTTGTATCCAGTCTACTCTAGCACAATTTTTCCAAGACACTGCAAAGCAAATTATTTCATTTTAAATTCATAATGTTATATACACCTAAATCGTGAAATAAGGAAAGGGTTGTATGCAAAATGTATTTTAAAACAATGCCATATTTTCATTGTCTTTACTGTTGTGATTTTATTTCTAACAAATGATTGCAACTTCCAACAACACATGATGGAAGCGGAAAGCATGTTGTATTTAAGTACATTGACAAGACATATTTACGAGGTGATAATGAACAAAAATTTTGTTTTGTATATATATGAATATTTAATGGCATTTAATTTGTAAGACATCAGTGGAATACATCTTATAATATCTTTTATTATTTATTCTCTGTAAAATAATGGAAAACATTACAAAATTGCATTTTGCTTTAAAATCGATGTAAATTTCATAACTTTGGGGGCATTTTCCATAAACTTGAACCTTAGAGAGGTTTATTCCTTAAACAGGGCGACCCCAAAGGTTCTGAGTAAAAAGTATTGACCTAATTTCCATTAAGAACAGTATATAAATGGCATCTTTTTAGAATACTTTATGCATACACATAAGATTTTCAATGAAATTTATTATGTTTTTCATCCTTTTCTTTTAGACACCCAATGCCAAAGTTGTCTATTCCTTGCCATCAGATCTCACGATAGATAACAGGTTCTTCCACATAACTCCAGAGGGAAATCTTAAAGTGACACAGCCACTGCCAACAAACACAGATAAGACTCAGTTAACGGTATGTATCATATTGGGTTATACAGTAGAGCCTTGTTAATCCAGATGTCAATAATTCGGATGCCTCAACTTCCGAACAAAATTTCTTTAGAACAATTAATGTTTATATATACCAAGTATGTTTCGTTAATCCAAATGCTTCATTAATCCGGACAACTTGCCCATTAAAACAAGCATCCAGATTAACAGGACTGAACTGTACTATTTTTGTAAAAAAAAATTAGGTTATAGAGAATGTTCCTATCTACATGTATATAATCACAGTAGATGCAGACTAGGGTAAGGTGTTTTACCCTTGACCTAGATGGCAAATGAATGACTCCAAATTTTTACTCTAGGTGAATCAAATATTCTGACCTTTATTGATATTACTGGCCCTTCTTTAATTAATTGATTGAAGGTTAAGTAAATAGATAATAGTGTCTGACTGACTATATGGACATGAAAATATCCTACTCTGATCACAAGGCAGGTGATCCCCCCCCCCCCATGAATGTGGCTGGGGCATGTCTGTCTTCCATCTTTCTGTCCATTCATCACACTTTTTATTTAGCTCAGTTTCAAGTAAACTATTCAAGGTATTTTTATCAAACTTCATATGCTGATACATACTGATGAGGGCTATTCAATTGCATCAACTTTTTTTGACCTTGACCTTCCCTTTAAACCTGATCTCACTTTTCTTAAATTAGAAACTTCATAGCTGTTACATATTAATGAAAAATTTTCAACTCTATCAACATATTTTTATGTTGACCTTTTCTTTAACCTTGACATCACTTTTCCTAAATTTGTGTTAAGCCTCAACCTTTCCTTTGACCTTGACTTCAAATTTTTGTTTAGCTCAGTTTCCAAGAAATTATTCAAGATATTTTTACCAAACTATATATGCTTATACATATTGATGAGACCTATTTAATGGCATCAACATTTTTTACCTTGATCTTTCCTATTACCTTTGACCTCACTTTTCTAAAATTTGTTTTTAGCTAAGTTCTGAAGAAACAAAGATAGATATTTTTATCAAACTTCATATGCTGATACATATTGTGGAGAGCTATTCAATTTCACCAAATATTTTTACCTTGACCTTTCCTTTAACCTTGACCTCACTTTTCTCAAATTTTTGTTAGCTCAGTTCTACAAAACTTTTCAAGATATTTTTTAATGTATGCACTGATAGAAGAATGACCAAATTAATGCTTTTTTGGAGCAGGTTAAAGTTTTAGGAGCAGGTCTCATTCCCAAGTAACTATAAGCCATGTGGTGACTAAACTTGCATCTATGATACATCTATGGATGCACACTACCAGATTTGCTTCAGTTGCTGGATCAGACCTGCATTTTTCAGTTGATTGATGAATGATCAGATCAATTTTTTTGAAACAGGTTTATTCCCAAGTAAATTTAAATCATACCTGGACAAAACTTGCATTGATATTGCATCTAGGAATTCACACTACCAGAACATTTGCTGAGACTTTACTATATTTATATAGATATTTATATTATAGTTATTATATAGATAAATAAATATTCAAAGAGTGGGCTTTGTAATCTTTAATTATCTTTGGGTTTATTTAAAGGTGATGTGTATTTTGTAGGTACGAATTAGAGCCTGTGATATGAGCTGGAATCAAAAATGTTCCGAGAAGGTAGTGAATATACCATTAACTCATCATGAAAGTCCAGAGGGTCGACTTGGTTTCAAACAGCCAGTTTATTAGTAAGTCTGTTGTCTTTTTTATTTGATCTCTTGGCATGATGGGGAAAAAAAATTCCTAAAAAAAAATTTCTTATTTTGTTAATGACATTTGTGATTTATTGGAAAATAGTGTCCTCGGTATTTCTTTGACCATTGTAGAATATAAATGATTCAATTTAGAAACTGACATTATCGATGATATAAATATTTTGACAACACTAGATGTTTTCTCCTGTACGAAAGTCATACCTTTTCTTTTTCCATTTCATAGCAAAGAGGTGCCAGAGAACACTCCACTGAATGAAGTGATTGTAGAGATGGATGTGGAGTACCAAGGATCATCTTCAATCAAATGTAGCATTGCAGATAAGACTATGGAAAACAGGTTCTCCACTACTAATGATAATGTCAACAAAAACTGTAAGCTTATATTGCTCCACCAGCTTGACTTCAGTGTACAGGATAAGTACAACGTGACGGTATCCGTGACAGCAGTCAACCCAAATAGCAGAAGGAAGAGACAGATATATGGTTAGTGTCAACACTTTATAGGGAGACAGAGTATTATTTAAGGATAATTATGGTTTTTTTAACAAGACACTACTGTAATTGACTTTTTATCTCCTCTGAGCTAAAGGCGTATGGGCTTAGTGATCAAAGGGTATCTGGCATCGGTGTGTCCGTACGTCATGTTTCGTCTGTATTTTCAACATCAGCCAAAACTTGTCATTAAACATCCAGATATAGAGAATTCAGATTTGTTCAAATGAAGTCATCACCTATCAAGAGTAGATAATTAAAAAATAGTGAAAATATAGTGGAATCTTTTAAAAAAAGAAAATTTCTGGGCAACCATTGTTCCAGAAAAGACAAAACTAATATGGAAGCTTCATTTTTAAGTGTGAATTCCTTTTTTTTCTTTTTTTTCAAATTAAGGCCCTAGATTGAAGGATTTGGCCACAATACATGTAAATGAGCGAAGTTTTACATGGGAATGAATAGAAAAAAAAATCTTAAAAATCTTTTTCTCAAGAAAAGCAGGGTCATGATTAGTTGAATTAATATACAATCATCCCCAGGAAGTGCAGATTCAAGTTTGTCCAAATCATGATCCCCTCTCCATGGGGAAAAGATGAGGCCACAATAGGGGATCAAAGATTTATAAGGAATATAACAGAAAAAAAATTTCAAGAACAGCAAAGTTTAGTTATATTGATATTGAAGCATCTCATGGGTTTATGGATTTAAGTTTGCCATGGCCCTTTTAGGCTATGGTAGGTCATAATATGGGTTCGAAATTTTTCATGGGAATAAGAGGTGAAAAAATCTTTTTAAAATCTCTTGATGAAGATCAGCAGGGGCAGAGTGACTCAGGTGAGCATTGTAGCCTCTTGTTACAAGATAGGAAACAATACAAACTTTGAAATGGAGAATTTTTTAGATTGTTGTCCAAATTGATCTTTCAGTGATGAGAAAACAGTAATGCTGGTCTTGTAATTTATAGCCTAAGCCACCTTACACAATACATCATGAAGAATTTCAAAATTCTTGAAATTTTCTGCTTTATAGTATACAACACATACCCCATTGCATCTGTGATCATCCAAGTACAGGATGTCAATAACAACCCTCCACAGTTCGTCTATCCTATGTATCCAATCAATCCAGTGGAATTAAGGATGTACTTTGGAGCAGTTGCCAATGACAGCAGGCCAGACAAACAGATCTTGGAGGTCCATGTAAGTACTTCTGTTTTTCTCTCTGTAGTATTACTTAAATATATTGAACAATTGCTTTATGAGGCCTGTGATAATAAGGCAAAACTTCTTACAGAATTCTTTAAATGCTTTTGATAATACTGCAATCCTACGCTTGTATTGAAATGATTGTGATAATACAAATTTTAAAACATTTTACGGAGAATGCCCGAAATGATTGTGATAATACGGGAAATCTTTACTCAAGTGTTTTAAATGACTGAAGTGATTGCAAGATGGTCATTATACATCTGAACTAACCTCCTCTTTTTGAATTGTAGGCTAGAGATCTGGATCTAGGCAGCAATGGCAGAGTAACTTACTCAATCAAAGACTCTTCAGGAGTTCCACCAAACCCACCTTTCAATCTTGCCTCTGATGATGGAATGGTCACTACTAAGAGAGATTTGTCTGCAGAAATGCAGAAGCCTGTTCAGTATCGCTTCAAAGCTGTAGCCACAGATAACCCTATTTTATTCTCACAACGACAAACAGATGAAGCCAATGTCATTGTAAGTTATCTTCATTAAAACTAAAATTATCCTTATTGAAACCATTGTTATTTTATTTATCTAAAGTAAAACCAGTATCATTGAAAGTTACTAAAGTTTTACTTATGTAAAAGCAGCTTTATTAAAAATTGTCTCTGGAAAAGCAGGTTATTGCTATTTAAATGTTGTTGTTCCTGCAAGTTATCTTGATTGATGATCTTCATATTGATTTTAACATCACCCTAGTTTTTAGAAAATCAATTCCAGATAGTAAGTGGTGTGTACTTAAAATTTAAATTTTACTGGTGAATTTTCAGATAAACATGATTCATCCATTCCATCGGTTTGTAATGGTTTTCAAAGACAGAAGTCCAGAGGATATACTACCAAAGAAGGAGTTCATTAGACAGTGAGTACTCCTACAAGTACATGATCTACCTCAACAAACAGTAAAACTCTTCCCATGGATCTCTTCGTATCTTTGGATTTCAGTCCTTAAATATTGATGAATTATGTTTGATTTGCAGAGTTATTCAGAATGTGACGAGAAGGGTGGCTATAATTGAGAATGTTGAGAAGAAGCGTTATCTCAATGACATGCAGAATGTTCTGACAGACACAAGTACTCTACCTGAGTAAGTATAATGCTCATATGACCTGAATGAGAGAATTGCAAATGAGTCAACAATGAAAAATGTGTTAATTTTGTCTTTAAAAAGAGATCGTGGTTTTGCTTAGTTCATTCCCCAAATAGTTATCTAGACTGAGGATTTCAAAAGAAAACATGAATTTTCTAAATGGGTTATAAATTCCTTTTCCATTGTAGCTCTGATTTATACTTTGTTCTACAACAAACTGTTGAACCATTCTACCTCATCAACAATACAGAACAGAATGAGTAAGTTTACAAAGTTATCTCCTCGTGTTAGCAAGGGAAAAATGAGTATTGTATGCTGAATAGAAAAGAAAAAGTGCTTGTGCTTATTCAGGAAAAGACATTATTTAAGAAATAATTAAACTTATTCAGGCCTTTATTGTTTTGCCAATAGATTATTCCCAGAAAATGTGCAGGATGAATTGAAGAACAGAATAGGTGGAGATCCCAGCCTGCAAGTCATTACTATCAGGAGGCCTTTTGACAGTCAGGCCAGCCGTATCTTCCAACTGAGCAAGTCTTACGTGTGGTGGCTTGACGACCCCTGGGCAGCACTCGTAGCCCTGGCAGCCATTTCAATACTTCTCTGTCTCGTTGGACTCATTGTCATCATTTTCACTCACTCAAGGTCAGTGACTAAAGGAAATATCTATTTGCTTGATCCTTTGATCTAGTTTTTGCAATTTATTTCTGTTTGTCTCGTATCTTTTTTCTAAGTGGCCTGTTTTTTTTATTCCAGGTATATGAGGTATATTAATGAGTACGCAGCTAATATGAAGGCATATGATCAACCAGAGTTTGTAGAACCACCTAGTTTCCTTAGGGAATATGAAACACAGGTATGCTTTAGTCTTGCATTTGATTAAATCATTTTTCAAAAGGAGAAAAGACGATGCTTTACATGAGAATAAAGCATTTTGCAAAATCCAGCATCACATTTTATCATTGGCTATGAACACAATTATCTTGACATAATCATTAATATTTTTTTTTAATTTGCAATAAACAGAGTTTGAATATGTATGTCCCACCTGATGAGGCAGTTCAGGATTCAGGGGAAATCAACCTGACATTTGAAGGGGATAACTTAGTTGCAGCAGAACATATAGGAGGAGACCAGGGAATTACTTCTGCAGTCAATCCTATTTACCAAGAGTAAGTAACATCTGTGTATCTGTCTCTTTTAATTAAGGCCCTAGTGTATGGAAAGTTTCAATTTTGTGACAATGTGGAGTTTTATTTTTCCCAAGAAAAAAAATCAATAAGATTTTAATGTGTTATTTTGTTTTCAGGGATGATTCACAGATTCAACAGCCAAGGCCAACAGGATTTACAGAGAGTACAACAATGTTGTGATTGTAGACCTTATTAAACTTTACAAGAGACTTATTTAAGGCCATCAATATATTTATGGCTACGCACTCCATTCTGAGGCTTCTAATTTTTCATTTGCATATATTCTTCACGTCCTCCATTGTTACCCATCATGCCCCAGAAGAGTGCATTATTTTCCTAAACATAGAAGATGGTACACTATTTCCAAATTCCAACAGATAGAAGTGAGAAAACTCAGGCAAAGGTTATTAAAACCGAGAGAGGTGCCAAGGGAGGAGAGAATTTCAAAAACTATTTCTTGAGTGCTATTGTGCAAATAGATATTCTATGCAGATTAAATTATATTTATTAATGTTTTTTTCTACATAGTGCTGAATGACAATAAATTGTTATTTGGTAGATTCCAATTATATTTTCTCTAGATTTATTTTTTTTTCTTGGTATCATACAAGAAACATATCATGGATTATTGAAACCATATCAAACTTTTTTTTTTCTTTTTTAGTTGTATTAAATCTTTGTTACATTCCATGACATTTATATTATGAAAATGTGATTATATGTTATTTTTCATGAAAATTTTTATAGTGAAATCTTAGATGGTTAATGTGATTTTTACAGGTGTTTGTGATATACAATGATATATTTCTTTACAGTAGAATTTTGACTTCTATTTTTGTACAATTGACTCATTTATTGACTAAGTGTAGTTTGCTGAATTCACTTCTAAATGTTCTATAAAAAGCTTGCCATCATTCACAATGTTGGGTGTATAATTTGTTTGCCAGTATAGTGTGTTTGAATGACAGGAATTGAGAAGCACATATTTCAACAATTTGTATTTTTTTATAAACAAATATACTCTATTTTTCAATAACTTCCTGTTTTGTGTTGTATTTTTCTGGCTCTGGTATCACAACAGATCAGTCAAAATTTCAGTTAACTGTGACTACTAGTTAATTAGCTAGGACTTAAAAAAAATCAGAGAATATTAGTTACACAGGTTCAATCAAGGATGTATGGGGATTTACCCCGGCTTTTATTCCATATGTCTTGAGGCTGAAGGCCGAAGGGTGTATGAAATACAACTCGGGGGTAAATACCCATACACCCTTGATTGGACCTGGACATTTAGAAATGAATTTATTTCCTATGTGCCCAAATAAATTCTTTGTAAAGTAGACAAGTCCAATTAACTATGTTTCAAGCTATCAATAAGATTTACTAAGTCCTACAATGCATCATGACATCTTGTTATTTGCTTTTTATCATAGAGAAACTATGCATTGTGATGTCATGTTTTTATACCCCCGGCTCAAGTTGGGTGTATGGAAATTTACACCCGACTTTGTAACCAATCAAAGCTTGTGTTACAATTTACATAGGAAATAATGGCTCATGGTAAATTAGTCCTAAATATCATTTTGGACTACACAGCACCTTCAGTGTTTTATGATCCTGAGGACTGGTAAACCCAGTTTTTGAAAGTTGCCTTAGAGGTTTGCTCAGACCTTATATACAAGGAAAGTGAAAGTAATTTCAGGTCTCTCTTGGAGAATTTTATACAGGTATGATTTCACCTTGCCAGAAAAAGAAATGGGTGTATATGTTTAGGAATCTAAGAGGCTTAATGAAATGTGATCCTCACATGAAAGCTTTGTACATTTTTGTGCGAAAATATTGGAAAGGACGAAAAAGGGATTGTATGATTGTATGTCACCTGGAAGGCAAACTTCGAGTAGATAGGAGCATATTCTTCAGAAGGGGGGGGGGGGGGGGACTATACAGAGCAGTAAATAGGCTTTCAAAGATTAAAGGGTGTGCATTTAAAAAAAATACAAAAGACTACATGTTTACAAGGCTTATCTTTTTTCAAAACATTTAAGGTCATAATTTCAGATAGTGAAAGGTTTAGAATTATCAAACCCCGATACAGTAGTTGGTGCATCTTGGGCATGTAAATAACATATTTTTGAGAAAGTAGGTCACAGTGATCTACTTTTTGAATTTGCAGGCATTCATTTTCAAATTGTTTTAAAGGCATATTTTGGACACTTTAAGGCCTATGGTCATCAAACTTTGTCAGTTGATGCATCTTGGTTCCTCAGGGTTTGTTAACTGACAAGTAGGTCACTGTGTCCTACTTTTGAAATTCTATGGCTATATTTAAATATTTCAGGTACTAATTGGCTTAGAATTTTCGAACTTTGTCAGTTGATGCATCTTGGGTCCTCGTAGTACATCAACTGAAAAGTAGGTCGCCATGACCTACTTTTGAAATTTGATGACTATTTAAATATTGCAGGTACTAATTGGCTTAGAGTCATCGAACCTTGTCAGTTGATGTATCTTGGATCCTGGGAGTACATCAACTGAAAAGTAGATCAAGTGACCTACCTTTGAAATTTTATTACTATATCAAAATATTCTAGGTATTAATTGGCTTAAATTCATCGAACTTTGTCAGCTGATGCATCTTGAGTCCTCGGAATACATCAACAGAAAGTAGGTCACTATTAGAATATTATGGCTATATTTAAATATTCTAGGGACTAATGGGTTAAGATTCATTAAACTTTGTCAGTTGAGTCCTCGGAGTACGTCAACTGAAAAGTAGGCCACCGTGACCTGCTTTTAAAATTTTATAGCTTTATTTAAATATTTCAGGTACTTATTGGCTTAGAATCATCGAACTTTGTCAGTTGATGCCTCGTGTCAGAATGTGTCAACTTAAAAGTATGTCACAGTTACCAACTGTTATAATTTCAAGGCAATATCTAAATATTTGAAATAATAAGAGACTTAAAATCATCAAACTTTGCCAGTTGAGGCATTTTGGGGTCTCGGAGTATGTTTACCAAAAAGTTGGTCACCATAACCTATACTTTTCGGAATCTCGTGGCTATGTCTGAATATTTAAGATTATACGGGGCTTCTAATCATTGATCTCTGTCAGTTGATGCCTCTTGGGTTCTCAGAGTGTTTTAACCAATATGGAATTGTCTAAATAAACAGGATACTTAGAGGCTTCAAATAGAAGTGATAGATTATACAATTTATCAGAAGAGCGATCCAAGGCCCTTGGGCCTCTTGTCTTCAAAAAGATTTTTTTCACAAAATGAAGAAGTAAGATGAACAGTTTAAAAGAATTCCCCACATATTTACCGTGAATAATTAAACATAGCATTCTAACCTCAGAAAAAAAGCGTAAAAATGTGCTATTGTTTACGGAGGAATAACACATCGTCAACAGTTTCAATTACAGATAATTATACAGTATAACAGGTTCATGCTTTATTAGCATTGTTACAGGTACGTAGTATCGCTTTTGAAAAGGGAGAGGGGGGGGCAGCCAGGAAAAAATTCGACAACTTTTTTAAAAAAATTCGACAAGCAAAAAATGAGGCGGGGGGAGGGGGGGGGAGAGAGAGAGAAATTGTCCAAACTCCCAAATTCCTATTTCGGAAGGGGGTGTGGTGGTTAGGTTCCAATTTTTTTTACAACCAAATTTCACTGATACATTATCATATTACTATAATTTAACTATTCCGCGACAGAAAGTCGGGGGTCGGCTTTTCAAGGAACTTGTCAACAGTAAATTTGGGGGGGGGGGGGGGGCAGGTGTTTTTTTTTTTTTCATGTCAGTCATTCAACAAAATAATGATATCAACTGATTCTCACTTTTCTTGTTCTCTTACATTAATTTTAATATGTATTCAACTTTAAATAATGGTATTCCCAACATTTGTTTACTTAAATAGAAACGACTGGCTAAATAGCATTTGTGAAAGGGGGATAGAAAAAAATCGATTTTCTTTTTTAACTTGGCAAAATAGAAAATTGAGTTATTTCCCCTTTTCAATTGATGCAGCGGTGCCTGAGAAACTAATGATTAATTTTTATTTTTATCTTTATTTTTTTTTTATTTTTTTTTTTTTATTTATTTATTTTTTTTTTATTTATTTATTTATTTTTTTTTTTTTTTTTTTTTTTGCCTTAGACGTCCATTTTTCGTCAGTACCACATGTAGTATCATGAACTTTTCAAGCGTATAGATCTACCGCACGCATGTATTAAACTTTACGTTTTAAAGTCCATATTCATTGGTATTACTGTGCATTTTACCTCAATATCAAGTTTAAATTCCTTTTAGAATAAATTCTTGGCTTTCCAATCGTGTTTGTTCATGGTATAATATTCAGAAGTGCTGTATTATTCCTTGATTTGCATGAAGCTTACAGAAATTTGTTCTAAAAATCTTTTGAATGAAAATTTATTTTCTTGTAGGTTTGTCTAAATGCCTTTATATGATTGGTCAGCAGGTTGAGCGCCTTATTTACTTTTAGCAATTTACGGTTATTGATCTTGACTTCTATATATGGAAATCGTTGAGACCTAATTGATCTTGATCTGTCTTTGAGTTATCTCTCTTTTTTAATTCAATCAATAAAAAATATATTTTGATAAAATCTTTCTGGTATAAAAATGTTTTCATGCGGTATTACATTCCTAATGATTCCTAATGATTAAATGCATCTTTCCAAAGCATTATTTATTGATATTTTTAGTATTTTTAATTTCAAAAATCCGTTTATCCTCATAGACCTCTGTACAATCTTCGCTGATTTATTACTGTTTAAGTAATTACAATTTTGAAAATTAATTTGAGGAAATTCCTTTTTTTAAACTTTCAAATGCTTAAAATTAAGAGCAGCCTATTTTATATGTAATGGATTAGGGGTGGAATACCTTAATATTTTTGTAAATTTTAAGCATAAATAATTATCTAGGCGGCAATGTAAATTACTAGTAATATTCAGTGCAGTATTGTAACGAGTCCAAGTATAGAAAATCCAAAGTTATGCAAAGTAGAGTTTAAAGAAATTACGGGAAATCCCAAAGTTTTATTGATACATTTACATGAACATGTATCTATAGCTGTCAAATCATGAGCTCATCTCGCCAGAAGGTCTTTTTTGGTCAGAATGAGCCCAATGTGACTTTATTTGCCATGATCGTAAATCAATTTCAACTCAAACTTGTCAAAATCATCAAGAAACTGTATTCATGCATTTATATGCAATAAACTATATATTACAAAATACATAATTCACATACAAAATAAAAATATTACAATTTACTTTTTTTTTTTTTTTTTTTTTTTTTTTTTTTTGCCTTAAGAGCAATAAGGCTATTATTTTTTTTATTAATATAACCGTTGTGCAATTTGTGAAACGCTCGTCGACTGTAAATTATAAAAGTACATATGTAATATGCAGGTACCCCCATGCAGCATAGAGACAACCTAACAAATGGATGGATGGTAGGGCCTCTGGGTTTAAAATGTAAATAAACACTAGTGTAACGAATTATAATCTTTCTTCTTCAGAGGATCTATAGCTGTATAGACTATCATTATTTAAAAAAGAGTTTCATGGGTCACAACACTCTCATGAGTCACTTTTGCCCCGGTCTCCTTCAGAAGTTGTCTTAAAAAGATTACTTTTCCTCTTTATGCCAATGAAAAATTTTAACCCCATGTTGAGACCCCACCCTAGCCCCAAGGGGCCATGACTTAATCGAATTTGAATCCACACAAGACGGGAATACTTAAATATCAGTATGACTATCATGCATGGCCTTGCTGTTTTGGAAAATAGATTATACGTACGTGCATTATGTAATATTAGTTCCCGGATTTCAGACTCATCCTAACCAAGCTGCAGAACTGTAGGAGAGGCAAACCTTAGAGCTACAGATCCAAGCATTGTAAAAATCTTCGATTTACGGCGCCTCTTTTTTGTCGCGCGCTTCGGGTATTATTTCTCGTATTTTATGTGTTCCCCCGCTTTAAGAATGATATCCATTGATTAACCA